TAATAATAAAGAAATGATCAACTTCATTCAAATAGAATTTGCAAAGATTTACATTTGCATCATCCTTGTCGAAAATTTGAAACCTAATAATTGCATCAACTGAAGGATTTTAACCATCTCGCAACTTTCTGTATTTTATAAAAATAAGTTTCTTACAAAAACTGAAGTGTGAGCAGTATATGAAAATTTGATTAGCAAAATAATTACGATTAGATCTTAGATATATGTTTAAAAACAGTTGAAATATCTAATCTGAGAAATCAATAAATGGTTTGTTTAAAATTCAGAACTTCTTTATAAAAAAAAATAGCAGGTTAATGGTTTATTCCATGTTCTGTGACACATCGTTTACATATGGTGTTTATTATAAGTTGATTTTGATACCTTTTACTTAGAAACTTCACTTTTGAAACATTTTTAGATAAAACTTTTGAATATTTCTAACTTTTTCTTATAAAACTTTTAGAACACGTGGCAGTAATAAATTTTATACTTTGGCATTGTTTGTTTTGATTTTTTTCTATTTTGAGGAAACCAAAACAAAATAGATAGAATGAAGACAATGGAAGTAGATATTTAGAAAACGAAACTATTGTATTGAAGGTATTGACCACCTGTAGATTAGGCGGGAAACATATTTGTTCGACCACTTGAAATAAAGTTTCCAATCTATTATATATACTAAAACGCAATTTCTTATGTTCGTTAAAAATTCTTACAATAAGATTTTCCAGTTTAAAAGTCATATTATAATCATAACAGTGATTAAGTGGTACAATTTTGTTAATTTCTGTATTCATTTCACAAATGTTTAAGCAATTTAACTGAATAAAATAATATTTTACTTCAGCATAAGCCCACCTAAATGTAGAAAGAATGGAAACTAATACAAGTTCAGCATACCCTGAATATTCACGCACAATTTATTTACTGATAAAATGAAAACATCACGTAGAAGTATTTTCTCTGTGTAATAAGAGTGAATTTTAACTTGTGCGTAAAAGGGTGAGAACAGAAACGATGAAAAATAAGCTAAAGTAAGGTAGCGTTGGATTATTCAAAAACAGAATACGATTTTTGTTCGATACGTTGATGACATGGCGGATTGAATCACAACGCCTCTTAAGTGTTATTAAATTCTTCAACAACCGCGTCGACGAAAGAGTGAAAAATTTTCTGTTTTCCAATTTAATAAAAATTGAATAAATTTTCTCGAATTCTCGTTATCTACAAGGGTTCTTACAATCATCTGACGGATTTGATTACATGTCACACCGATCGTCATAAACTTTCTTAGTAAAATGAAAAGCAATTAAATATTGAAGAATATCAAATCGAAATTATAAATTCCGTTTACTTATTGAAAATTGAAGATATTTCTTCATTCATAAAGTGGTGAAAATCTGTGAATTATTTAAGATTTGTATCCAATCGTTAGTTAATTATAATATTTAGGAAGCATATTTCAAATATTAAAATTTCAATGCTAAATAAAGTCATATTAAAAATTTACCATTACTGTCCCTGAAGCCAAACCTTAACCTTCTTTAAAGAATGATCTTGAATATCGATTGGATTATCTTTTGAATGTTTGGTCAACTCACAAAATTGGAAATCAATAAGTAAATCGTTTTTGTTTCAAAAGGATTCCTATAATATAAAATATAAAGACTAAATATAATTGCACTCGAGAGACAAAGCGATGAGAAGATTACAGTATCTACCTAAAAGAAGGCCCCAGCAATGAATGAATGAATATAATTGGCTTTTGAATTTTGTGAAAATCTCTTAAGGGAAAGGAAAATAGCGAGAAGAAAATTTATTAAATGAATTTTGAGTTTGTTATCTTCTTTCATTTCACCGAAGACTAGACCATGGTGGATGTTTTTATTTTCCTTCTTTTTTTTTGTATCTTTTAGGGAGTTGGAGATTTAAAAATTCATGGATACCGGATTGTTAATACTTAATTTGTACAGCTTGTGATTTCGCAAATTTCAAGATAAGAAGGCAATTTTTTCCTCAGATTAAATCTGAAGCTCTTTCATGTCTTGTGGAACAGAAAAAATATCATTAAAAAGCAAATATGTATGTAACATATCCAAATTGGATTAAAAGACATAAGATCGACATAACTTTTAATTCTGCTCAATTTGAAGCATATTAATAGATAAATTCAAATAGCGCCAAAAATAAAACATAACATTGCTAAGCACATGAAAATTATGTTCAAGTCTTTGATTTAAAAATAAACTTTTGATGTCAGAAAATTATTCCCTCAATTTTTTAATTAAAAATTTTGATAAAATATTAAAAACATTAAATCATGTTATGTTATAATCTACTGAATTGTAACTTTTTATGTAGGATTCCAAGGGAATATATTTCAAATTGAAAGGGGAAATAAGAACTTTTCGAATGTTTTTACGGTTGCTGTAATATCAAATTGTTTTGAAAAAACTGCACGTAGTTTAACATCAACAGAATAACGACACAGCGAACTCTGAAAAAGATAACAAGACACTATATGGAAATATTTCCTAAATGAAGATTCATCTTACTGAGTGGTCTGCAGAAATCGAATCAATTTAACTTTTTTATGCACATGAATCATAAGACATCAATCAACATGAAACTTTGTTACAATAGTATCCAATATTTCATCTTAAATCACTTCAGGGCTTGCAAATTTAATATCAAACGACATTTATCGAAAATGTTGATTAAATAGCTTAAGGATTATTGACTTTATTCAGCTGTGATTTAATCACAAAAGTGAAAGTCGCTTCAGGTTCCGAACTCTAACCAAGCATCAATATTGAATAATTTGAGCAAAAAACGGTCGGTGAATGTGTATGATGGGAGCATATTCTCAATTCTTTTACTTTCATGAGCTTGGTATCGTGATATATACTAATATAAAAAAATACAAACTCAATTTTGCGTTGCTCGCTGCTCAAATGCTTCAAAAGTCGAACATTTATTATTTAATAAATAAACAGCCTGCATGTTCCTTGTTGTGCTTTCAAAGCTTTCAGTTTTTGTTTTAGAGACTTCCACATATTTCTCTGGTGAAATTTTCTGACCTGATGTAATTTTAACTTTTTATGAAACAAACCATAATGTTCAAATCCAAGTTTAATTTGTAAAAAAAAATCAAACTAAATGTGGTTAACTGATACGGCTGATAATAAGATTCAAAATAAATAATATCAAAGACCATGATGAAATATGAGAAGATTAATTAAACTTATTCACATCAAAGATTGAATTCTAAATACTTCTTTAAGTGTTCATCAATCTACTCAGGCTTTAACATTATATAAACGTTTTAGATTATATTTCATCTTATTATTCTCATGGAATAATTTCTTCCTTTCAGTAAAAACCCACATGATATTTATTTATCTGAAATGATAAAGTTATTCTTAGCATATCATTGTCAAACAGTTAATGATGTGTAAATTATAACACATTTTGATTGACAATAAGAAATAAGGAAATGAAATCAAGTTTCGTGTAGGTTTGAAATATTCAGAGATATAAATATTTTACTATGCTCCATTTTTCTTATTATAACACAAATCATAGTTTATGAAAAGAAAAATCTCATTATCTACATACATAAACCTACATAGATAAGTACATAAAACATAAATAACAATAAACCATCAAGATTTGATTTGGATCTTTAAATGATTTTTGAGAACTCGAAATCTTCTCCCTCAGTTTCAGTGTTGTAATTTCTATTGTTCTCAATGAATGGAGTAGATGTAATAGTATAATTATCATCGTCATCATCTGTTATGTAGGAATTCTTGTAGACAACTCCATTACCACTGCGGAATAAATTTTCATTCCGAACACAACATGATTTTTTTGTGTTGTGTGATAAATGATGAGATATTGAAGCACGAGTATTATATGTTGACATAGTTTTGTCGTTATGATAATCGGTCATTGTTGTTGCTCCAGCCATGCCACTGGTCGATTGATAGAAACGTCTTCCAAATCCAAATTTATGAAAAAACGAAAAACGTTTGTAGAATTCTCGTTTAAATTTTTCCTGTTGAAGAAATAAAAATTCTTCTTTAAAATTTCACTAAATACATCTCAGAGAAATGTCATGAAAAGCTTCTCGAAATGGAAGGATTTAAATTTGGATAGGAAAATAAAAGCCTTAGAAAATTCTTTTAAAATGAATCTTTAAGTAGATAGATCACTTACATTGTAGATTCCGTAGATGAAAGGATTGTAGCAGGAGTTTGACATGGCAAGCCAATCAAAACACAGCCAAATGATATTTATGTGACGATACTCGTTTATCTCAGGATATGTCACCTGGAGAATGTTGTACATTTGCAATGGAAACCAAGCTACACAAAACAAAACGACTACAATGACAAGCATTTTAATAACTTTCTTTTTGTTTTTAAGAAGGTTGAAATCGCGAACGTCTTGAGCATTTCCTGGAGTTTTGCTTCCCCAAAGTTTTATTGCCATCTGTTTCGTCATGAATGGTACAAACAGGGAATTTTTTATTTGTTATTTTAAAATTTAAAATTAAAAACTTTTAATTCATCTTACTTGGATGTATACGAAGCTTATGACACACACTGGAATGATATATTGTACAAGAACGAGTGTATATCTGTAAACTAGCATCTCTGCATCATTTAAATTGACAATCTGACAGAATGGTTTCGTTATATTTGGAGTAAAAAGCGTCACATTCGTGCTGTTATCTTCTACATATGATGAAAGAAGTAAAATGAATAAAGAAAATCATAAATATTTAGCTGTCTGATCAAATCTAGTGTTGGTAAATGATTGACTTTTTAATTTTATGACGATAAATTGACAATGACTTTGCACTGTTCATTCTTTTCCAGAACTTTTAATTTTGTTAATAAATGAAACTTAGAAAGTTACTGAAGGAATTGTCAATTCCTAACACTAAATGAAGCTACAAGTTAAAACGTCAAAGTTTGAGAAACGTGCTCCATTTGAAAGTTATGAAAATTTATCAAATTTCTGCAAGAATTACAAATAATTCTGCCTGATATTTAAATAAAAAAAAGCTTAATTTAAAATCCTTTAAGCATCTTAGAACTTTTTCAAAAAATAATTTTTTTACTTTTCCAACTGGGGTAAAGAAAATTTCTCTCAAACGTCTCACAAAATCATCTCATCAGTCGCATTAGTAATTTTTTTTATGATTATGAAGTAGTTATTTGAACATGACTTACTGACTTCATATTGGACCATCAAATCTACAACACGTAGCCCATAGCTTATGGGTGATGCGAAGAATAATGCCACCATCCAAATAAAGCCGATAATGATTTTTGATGCTTGCTTGGATGATCGAGCTCGCAGTGGATTTAATATCGCCTTATGACGATCTATAGCAATGGCTGTCAAAGTGAATATAGACACGTTCACGCTGAGAATTTGAATGAAGGGACAGAATGGGCACATAAATCTTGGGAGATCCCATCGTTGTAAAACAGCCGCTTGAAATTGAAAGGGAATAGAAAACAATCCGATGATGACGTCTGCCATTGCCAGATTCCCAATGAAGAAGTTTGTTACGGTGTGCATTTGCCTGGTTGTTATGACAATCCATATCACCAATGAATTGCCAATTACAGCAATAAAGCTTATACTGCCATAAAGAAGCGATAATAGTATCAAAATATGCGTAGGTACTTCGAAGACCAGCTCTGTAATAAGAAGATTAAATAAGAATAAACAAAAGGTTAACAAGTTGTACACGGCAAACGTGACCAGATTAAGCTATAATTCTCTAACTCAGTTTGAATATCTATTTTCCTTCTAATATTATGACAAACTTAATTGCTTAATTATCAAGTATTTTGAGTCACGTCACAGTCATTAACACAATCCTGGATAAGATTTTCCATGGCTATTTATTTAATGACATTACTTATGTAAATAGAGAAATAAACTTTGTAGAAAAGTTTTCTTATTTTTGAGTTCTGACAGTGACATTGACACCAAACATCAACTTGTTGTGTTATCGGTGAAAAAATATCTTGAAAAAAATGTTTATGAGAAATAGACGAAAAACTTTTTCTAATTTTCTATGTTTGGCATGTCACAGAAGGTGTTGATGTGAATTACTTTTGTTGAAGTTTATTCAATTTAATGCGTAAATATTCAAGTTGGGTAAATATTTAAACACGAAAATGGCAAAGGAAATTATTCACCCTTAAGTTCCCAGTTATTTGAAAATCAGCAAATGGGTGATGAAGAAAATATTTTTCGTTATTTAGCTTTTCATTTCCTTGCATCCTCGATATTATGGAATCTATTCTTCAAAAGTACCGCAAAGAGCTCTCTTTTTTCTGAATGAAATAGAAAATCTACATAAAGTTCGAATAGATATTTTATTTTCTATGAGGGATTGCAAACAACTTAAAAAAAGGGAAATCGAATGTATTGTAATGAAGCGAAAATTTTTTAAAGAGAAAAGCAAACAAATTGAGTGAAACCCCAAAAGCTTTTAAAACATTTAGCTCACAAAGACACGAGAATGAAAATGAATAAGAAAAATTGTCGCTTTCAAAATTTCGTTGAATGTAGAAAACTTAATTAAGCTGATCCGTTATGAAAGGAAGGAAAGGAAAGGATGACTACACAAAAGAGCTTTCGGACATAATAAAAATTACTCACCGTCATCAGATATCACATAAAATGATCCAGATTTATTGACGCTTTCATTTGACTCTGGCTCTAATAAAGTCTCCATTAATCACAATGTTGTGGTACTTTCCTTTGTCTTCCAGAGATATTTGTTTCTATAACTAAAAAGAAAAACGATGTTAATAAAGAATTATGACATCACTTTCCTGTAATCTAAATCATCTTAGTAGTTCAGATTTTGCCACTGCTTTTCTAATGAGTAAATGAGAAAATAATAAATTTTCAAGAGTTTTTTTTTCTTTTCCTGAAGCTAAATGGTCATATAGAATCTCAATCTAGTAAACATTTTTGAAGTTTTCTTCATATCTTCATCCTATAAATCTCACTGTTCGTTTACAATGAAACATTAATAAGAGTACAGCTTAGACTTCTATCTCCATCCATCACGTTAAAACCACCACAAATACGTTTTTTATTAGGATAAATGTTTTGAGAAGAAGGAACGCGAAATTTTTTTCCCACATTTTGAAGCTTAAAAGAATGCTAGGACTTCGTTAATTGAAAAATGGAAATGAAATTACCTATCTTGTCGTCATTCCTTTTTGAAGGAAAATTTTAGTCCGTCGGCAATGTCTCATAATAAGAGAAGAATTAATCAAATTAATTAAATTCTTTTGAAAAATTTTGTCCATTTGCTGCTGTGTCTAAAATTGAACGTAATAACCTGCTGGACATTTTACTTTTTTTACACGGTAATTAAAATGATAATTGATGGACATGAAAAATTTGTATCGTATGAAGATGTAGAAGCGTAATTTTAAATGACTTATTAAACTAACTATTTAGTTAGATGAATAAATAATCAAACTCTTTACGAGAACATTAACTGAGAAAGAAATAAATTTAATGTAGAACTTGGTAATTTTGTTTACATGTCTGAACTTTTCCATTCGTTTAATGGTTTTATTAATTATATTTTCCAGACCTCGCTTTCTTTTATTATTTTTTAAATTGTGTTTATTCTAATTTAGGTGTGCATGTTGGCGAAATATTTTTATAAGTTAGTAACAATTAAACATTTTATCATAATTTTAATAATATTAGCAAGTATGTCATGGATATCAAACTGAGTAATTAGGTAAATGCTGTTCAGTTCTTAATATATGTTACTGTTACATAATTAAACACGTGATTTATGTTTTTAATTTGAAACATTCAAATATGAATATTTATTATACTCTAGAATGCCATTAAAATCACTTTGTGTCAATTTTAATTATGCATTAAAAAGTAGAAATAATTTTAAGTAGTGTTTAATTAGTGGAAAGTATTATTGCGAGTATTTATGAATCGCAATGAATTCATCAAGAGATAATTAATTATTTAACTGAGAATTTAGATAGGAAACCTTAAGCAAACTTTAAACGTTAAAAGCATTTACTTTCGAAAGATATCTTGAAGATGCCAATGTCTGTTAACTTGTCAAGAAAACTCATTAAATTTGTTATAGAAGGTGTTATGTAAAGTAAACTCGCAAGTATTTTAAGCTTCTCATGACTTTAAAAATTTTAAACTTTATTTATTGCAACATAAGCGTAAATTTCGTCCTCAAAATTTTTGATGAACATTGTAAATTTATAATTTATGATCTTGAATTTATGCAGATCCCTAAAGTTTTTATAGTAAACATTTCAACATAATGAAATCTCATTTTTGCATATTATTCCATTTTTCTAAAACCTATTTTTGGTAAACATGACTCAATCATTAATCATCTAAAGTCAGCACTTACTCAATTGATGCGATTGACATTTTGTTGAATGTATTGAAAGTTAAGCAAGTGGAAGAAAATGAATTCAGAAATAAATGATATTCAAATTTATGATAACAACAGCAATTTCTCTGAAATAAAAACAAATCCATCAATTTGCCGCATGTTTTTTATTTACATTCACTCTTCCTTAAATTTGATCAAAATAAAATATTTCAAGTGGCTTCAAAGGTTATAAATTATAAATATTTACTTAAGTTACTTCACTTGAGTGCGTAAGTATTGTTCCAATGAAACACAACGTTTATCGAGAAAAATTATTAGCTTTTTGGTGCTCTTTATTTTATTATTTAAGGAGATGAATCGACTTAAATGTGTTTACATGCAACGAGGATCGTCTTAAGAAGTTTTTTTTACTTGAAATGAGATTTACCGCACATCGGCAATTTTAAGTGCTATATGCCCAAATTGAATTTAGTAATTTCTTCTGAAGATGTCTGTGCGGTTGAGCGGTAAAGTACATTAGGGATTCGTCATGTAGGAAATGTCAGAAGTACATCTCACTTTCAATTCACATCAATCGAAAAAATTACTATAAGTAACATTGCTTCATGATAAACCCATGGAGTATAAATTTTCTGACACGTCCCAAGAACTTTCACTCACTTTTTAGCTTTTACATCATCTCCAATAACCAATTGACGACAAGATCGATAGATGTGAGCTTTTTATGAACATTATGTTCTATTTACTTGCCAATCAATTACTCAATCCCATTTCCTGTGAAAATTATTGTGGGCGAATAAAATTCGAATTGTGCGTGTTTGAATGCCATCACCATTATCATAAAATTTCATTGAAAGATGAGATTTGTAAATGGAGAAGTTGAAGGATTTTCGTTTTCCTAAAAAAATCACTCAAACAAAAAGCTCGAAAAAAAACTCAATTTCAAAGATCGTAGATTTGAAAAAAGGATTATTTTTCAGTCATAAAATGCACGCTTTTGATTTGATTTTCTTTGATGTTGAATAAAGAGAAATATTGTTCATAAACAATACAAAGAGGGTTTTAATTAAACTCACACCCGATTTTCATGGGCTCCGTCTTGGTACATGTGTTTATATTTCTTATCACAAGATCAAAAACATCGCTTCGCTACTTTAATATCTCTAATTAATTTAATTTTCATTTGCAAACCACACGAAGAAGATTTCTTTATTTTCTCAAGTAAGATATCCAACAAGGTTTCGTTGAGAATTACTTTGATATTTATCTTTATGTTTATGAACATATTTCCACTGTTTACTTATTTTAACGGTGATAAAAACGAGAAAAACATTAAAATGTAAAAAGAACTTTTTTGTAGTACTAGCAAAATACTTATTTTAATGAAGCCACAAGATTTAAGGTTTGGTTCGCGTTTAAATTCGAGCTACTTAAACATGCTTCTATTTTTTCCTTTCTTATATAATCTTACATCCGCTCTACTTAGAGAAATAGCGTAGGAATGTGATAACACTATTATAAATAATGTGATTTAATAAATTCAAGGAATATGTAATTACTAACTTCTTAGTAGCGTTCGAGTCTTTGTGCTTGAATGACATTTGATTCAAGATAACTTTCTTATGCAAATTATGTTGATTGCGAAATAAGACGCAATTGACTTCTTCTATCTTTAGAAAAGTATTACAATTCCGTCTAATTCTTTTGTTTGCCTTTGTCTCGATTCAATACCTTGTTTATGGCTTTCTATCACAATAAATAATTTTCTTTCCTGCGCTCGTTTGATTTTAATTATCTTGTTTAACTGAAACTAACCCGCAAAGAAAACAAGCAAAATACGAATTGACTTTTTTTATAAATAGAATGAAAATCCAGATGAATAGAAAGAGACTTTTCAAGTTTAAGAATTTTCAATAATTGGTAGTGTCCGATGAATGATTTGCGCCGAAAAAAATTCGAAACAAATCTTTGTATGATCACTTTACAAATGAATGTATTTAGATTTATTTTTAGGAGTATTTCAGCGAATCTTACTAAAATTGTATAAACAATGTTGAAGATTAAAGTAGATTTTCATCGATGAAAGATAAACCATAAATTATTTCTGGATAGATAAACTTTCAGATACGTTACATTAATGATTACTATGAGAATAACCTTACAAATCGACTTCGTTTTAAAAGCTCTGAAAGCTAGATAAAGTAAACATAAATAAAATCCAAAGCGAGCTGTAATTTATCCTAAAATCACAGCAGTTGAAATATATTCAAATCGCCTTTAAAAAGAATGATGTACATATTTTCGTCAGAATATTAAACAGCTCCAACCGTATCCGTTTCATTAAATCTGTTTGTTACGATTCCAAAAAGATTGCTATTTTTTAAACCTCAACGCATAATAAAAACCCAAAAGTTTATCTTTCACTTTAATTTTCCATGAGTTTATGTTTGATTAAGTATGAAAAACTCTTAATTATGTTTGTATATGCGTTCTTCTTGTCTTGAATCGTTTCCGATTCAATCCTCAGAAAACAAATTTTTATTCGACCGTAGTAACAGAATTTTTTAATTAGCCAAAATGTCCCTTAGACATAACTCACTTGATATTTAAGTCTGCTTTTTACTGATATCAGCTAATTTGATATTCCAATGTACACAAAGCTTGACAAATTTATTTTAATATTCACTAAAACAGATCTTTTGAATAATTAAGAAAATCTCATCCACCTGCTGTTGTTAATTTAGATTAATTTCATTAACTTCCATTCTGGTTTATTTTTTTCTCTGTTAATTAATTAAACACTGATTTCTCTACTAGGTAGCAAATAATTTCAACTTTATCCTTCAATTTTCACCTGATCCACTCATATTGTATCAAAGATAAAAAATAATCCAACTGATCCGAACAACATCCAACGACAAAATGTTAAAGGCAACGATACAATATCTGCTGAAAATAATTTTTCCAACAGACGATATTTTTCGAAGTTCTAACAACGACTGGAAAATTGAGTCAACGAATGAAGAAAACTCTCTCGTTTTCGAAATAAAAAAGGAGAAATTCAGATTGGCGATAGATGCTCAACAGGTGGATAAATTTTCTCTTTAAGTTAAGATAAAAATCCAAGCAACTCGCAAATCAATTGCTATGCATGTAGGCGATAAAGGAAAGTTTTAAAACTTTCCAACACAGAGCAAGAATATTAAAAATGAAGTCCATCAACACATGAATAGCCTAAAGCTGGAAGAACCTTTCCTGACTCACAACAAATTTAACTATGAAGGATTTTGAAGCTAAAACTTCGAGATGTTTTTCTTTCAATTACATAAATAAAACTCGGGTAAGGGTAGAACGTCTGGAAGTTTGTGTATGTACATGATCAAGACATAATTAATTCTGCTCTGTCACCAGACATCGACGTACTTGTCAGTATTTATTCAATAACACGAGTACAACAAGCACTTTTGACATTTCTTCGATTGAAAAATATGAAAATTATATTTGCTTGTTCTTGAATTTCTTGTTTGCATAAACTTAAATAAAAAAATTGGATCATTGCTTGAGGCTATTATGATTAGAAAAGTTTAAAGTCCTTAAATTTTACCTGAGAATGAAAAGCTACGAAATCGTTTTTCCTTCTTTTCAAAGAATTTCCATTAAATTTTACTACCTCAATGTCGTTATTCATTGACGCGCGTTTCAAATATTTTCTTACGTTCTCTTATCATTTTTATTTTTAGATTTCCATCTCTTTGTTGGTTTTTTATTATTCAAATTAGGAACAAGAGAGTAATATTTTAGAAATATGTAGGTAGATAGATAGTCTCGTAATGGTAAATGGTTATTGAATTTTGTTGAAATAATAAAGTAAGTTTTTCGTTTTTGAACAAGGCTCTTTCAATTTATTTCTTTCATTTGTCACAAGATGATGTTTGATATAAATTCAATTTTCATCCATGGCTATGGGCTAAGAAAAAGATGTTTACTTGAATCTTACGTGACGTCATACAAATGAAGATATTTTAGGTATTTTAGGCATGGAAACCTACATTCGGTTTGATTCTTAAGAAGTATTTAAAGACTCAGTTGCACAATATTAAATCAAATGAAATGAATAACATGGTTTAAAAGCATTTTATAAGTTATCCGATATTTTTCATGATTTACGTGCCTATTATGTAGATGACCACAAATTGTTTTGCAGTTATATTAAAAAACTTAATCGAGTTGAAAGAGTTTTCTACCTTTTGTTAATAAAACAACTTTTGAAAAGGGTTTGATTTCCATGTCAACTCGTCTTATGCTATACACTTTTCTAACTTCCGCTGAATTTTCATCAAATAATAAAAAGATACCATGTAAAATAGTATTATGTAGACAGAAGTTCATGATGAAACTGTTTAAGGAATTTAACAATGATTTGAGATATTTGTTTTTGTAAAACACATAACACGACAGCAAACCTTTTACGAACATTTTTGTTGTTTTGCAGGTTAAACTTTGCTTTTGCACGTGAGAGATTCAATTTAATTTTTATAAATAAATTCAACATTGTTGAGATTTTTAATAAGGATGCTGACGTTTTGAGTACTTTATGCCATTTCATTAATATTATTAAAGTTTAAAATTCATTTCGTCAAAGTTGGTACCTATTTCATTTTGATTGTTTAATTACAAATGCAAGAGAATTGAGATACTAATCTGATATTTCATTAAAATCATTTCTATTTCATACCATCGAATGTAGAAAATATTTCTTTGTAAAAAACATTCACACATTGCTTTTTTCATTGCTGAGTGAGTAAGCAGTGACATCATCTTGCTGCGCACTACTACAATGAATTTAATTTCATAACGAAACGAAAACTAGGGTGTATAAAATAAGCAGAAAAACACAAAAACATTTCAGTGTGGTATCTGTTTTTGGGTTTCAGCAAAAACATTTCTAGATTGATTTAAAAAATGGCAACGCAAAATATTATCGGAACTATTCCAACATTTGAACAAGGAGTTGATGATTGGAAAACTTATTCGGAAATTCTTGATCAATTCTTCATCGTGAACAATGTTGAAGATGACAAGAAGTCGGCATTTTTAATTTCATGCATTGGTGCAAGCACATACAAGACTCTCCGCGACTTGTGTCACCCTGTGCTTCCTAAAGATAAACCATTTGACGAGCTTTCCTCAATCTTGAGCAAGCAATTCTCACCTCAGGTTGCAATCTTCCGTGAACGAGCAAACTTTTATAATGCAAAACAAAGTCCTGGAGAAAATGTCACAACATGGTATGGACGAGTTAAAAGATTATCAGTTGATTGCAAGTTCGGAGACAACTTGGAATCAATTTTATTGGATAAATTTATTACTGGGTTAAGAGTCGGTCAAGTGTTAGATCGTTTATGTGAAGAAAACGAGACATTGAATTTACAACAAGCTGTTGACATTGCCACTAATAAGGAATGTTCACTTAAAGAGGTTTATGGGGATCAAATGAACAGCTATGAACAATATAATCAATATTCAAGGGGAGGAAATCCTCGCCGAGGCGGTAGACGAGGTGGTAGAGGAGGCAAGAAAGTAGAAGAGAACTGGAGAAGCGCTGATGCGGAGGATGCTGAGAACGAATAAAAAGTTTCAAAAATATTAAACTTCTAAATCTCGAGATAAATATTTAGAAAATATTTAATATTTATTAACATAGGTTTCACTTACATACATTAATTAAACAATAATAAAACATACTTAAATAAATCTGCCTCAACTTTAATTTAAATTTTGTTCAAATTATTCAACTTCATTAAAGTTTTCAGTTTGAATTTTTGTTGTTATTTTCCTACGAAAATTATTTCTAATTTTTGATATAAAAGAAATTCTTTAAAGGAAAGAAATCAAACTCCCACATTATTGATTTTCAATCTCTTTGAGAAATGAAAGAAAAATATTTCCAACAGATGTTCGCAATAATAAATTGTAAATTGATAATGAAATGTCCAAAGGCATTGCCATGGCATTTAAATAATTCAATGTACATTTCAATGATTTTTGGTTCTCTTATATTTTTGACATTAACCTTGAAAGCAAAGTTTACGATGGAAGTCACTTCCAAATTTACGAAATTAAATTTTCAAAGCCTTCAGAAGAAGTAAGTGAGGGAGAAGCGTATGTAAATTGAAAAAATTAACATAAAAATGGAAGCGCTTGCTGTGACATTTGGTATCACAAATTAATAAAGTTTAATCAATATTTTCTCGATCAACAATCATCCTCAAGTTTATTTTTCTTTCACTAATGTTTAAGTTTTTCTTTTGGGTTTCTTATTAAAAATAACATCGACTTGCTTTTACTGACTTAAAAGAAATAGAAAGAAAAGAAGGCAGTTAAAGGCTCCCTCCATTAAGTAGTCTTTCGTTACGTTTTTGTGTAGAATATTGTAAAAGCATTCTGCAGATACAATGAATATTGTGAACCTTAGACACTCAAATTTTATAACAATAAAGTAATGTCCTCAAATAAACATAAATTATGTGTAAATATTAATGCGATTTGGATGTTAGAATGTTTAAGAAATAATTTTTTCAAATGATTTCTCATGAAATTCCAATCTTATTCTTAAATTATTAATGGAATCTGCTTTTAACCTTGACAATCTTCAGCAAGACAGGAAACATTGTTGTCAACTTTTAAGTCAACATAATTTTTAGGAAACTTTTTAATGTATAAACGAGACAGAAGGTTCGTCTCAAAATTTACAGTTGTCTCTAAAATGAAGCATGTTTAAGGCTACTTGAGTACCCATTTAGTACGGTTCGATAATAATTTCATTAATGTTGGCAGTTTTAATCTCAACAAAAGGTTGTTGCAACAAAGGTTCTCTTATTATTTCAACATGGGCGATAACAAGGGTGGTAATTTAATCATTATGCCAAAAATTGCTTCTTCTTTATTTAAAAAGTAAAAAAAATTAACAAGAAAGTCATCTCATAATTGACAAAGCTTTTAACACTTGCACGGGTTTGTCACAAGTTAAATTTTATCGAGGCAAATCCTTTTATTCATGATGAAAAGTTTGATAAGTATCAATCAATCATCATCGCTCATTCGAATATGCTTGAGAAGATTCAAAGTTTAAATTTTGATGATGGATAAAATAAATTTTTAATTTCTTGGAAGGTAATTATTGAGAAATATTTAGGATGAAGGGTCTTATTCGTCTCTCACACTAGTGGCAGATGTTATATCTATAATTCAAGTTCATAATATCTAAAATATCTGAAGATAAATGCGGAGGTTTAAGGACGATTTTCTCAAAAGCCTAATGGATTCTTTTCATTAGTTAGAAAGGATAATAACGAGAAAAATGTGTTAATCCCTTGACAATAGATTAGTTTTGAATGTTCATGAGAATGTGCAACATATTAATTCTACTGATATTTACTTGGTAGGTATTTATAATTAAATTCTATTGGACATGGAAAAGTTGTAGTTTTAGTTAGAATCGTGCATCACGAATAAATATTCAAACTTGAATTCAAAACCAATAAACTTCCTTTTGTTGCGGAGCTATCAAGAATCTATTTAAGCTTTAGTTTAATTGAAAAAATTGCAGTTTTATTAATTTACTTGATTCATTCAATCATGGGGCATTTAATTTTCGGACTCGTTTTAACTTTCATAAGCTTAAGTGAAGTTACTTGCGGTAGAGCTCCTGCACCATCTGTACATGTGCCATACCAAAAGTCATGCGAGGATTTTTGCGTCACATCGTCTGTCGTTACAATCGATCAAGTAATGAAGTTTTTCATGTTTTTTAATTAAGATAGCATTGAAGAATTTCATATTTTGTTAACCAGATAAAAGGAATTTATTACATGGTAAAAATGATTCCACATTTCTTCCTTGAAAATGTAAGCTGCACATATCTTAATGTATCTAGAGAACTAGTAGATGGTGGAAAATATTTTGAAGCTGTTAGCGTTGTGCAAGTTTTTTCATGACATTCTTAAGATTTGTGTTAATAATATTTTTTTGTCTTTAAAGTGATGGAAACAAGCGCCGAAATTTTGGATTCCTTAACATAACTGACAATTTGATAGATATTTCCTACACAGACTGTAAAACTCTTTAATACAATCGCATTCATGTCAAAATTTATTCAACAAACTTTTCTCTTTTCAGTAAACCTTCCATTGAGTGGTCAAATAATCTCATTCAATGCAGGTTTTAATTTCAAAAAGTTTTACAAGTTGTCTCAAATATTTATTTGTATTTTGTTTTCCTGATCTTCAGATATAATTGCTGTTGTGTATTGCCATGACTGTGGATTTTATAGGAAAGAGGACGCAGGAGGTGAATGACAAATTTATTTAATTTTTCTTATCAAATCTGATTTCATTATAAAAATTTGTTTAGTTTATGTCAACATATTTTCAAACTTATTACATATCGATTATGAAGATCTGAAACCAATTCGTAAAGCACTGCAAGACTGCGGAATACCATTTAATGCACTTCAAAAAGTAGACCAGCACCATTGTCGATCAAGGAAATGTTAGAATAAATCAAATTACTAAAATTTCATAATTTTATAGTCGTTTGCAAGTAATAAAAAATAATTCTCTTATCATATCTGAAACACGATGCATGAAAGAAAGAAAAATTGTAAGGAATAAGTTTTCAAATTAATTACATTACTACCTAGGAAGAATTTATACAATAAAACCTTTGAAAAATGTGGAATGAATGTAAAATTTTGTCATTAAACAAAATGCAACCAGCATTTAATATCAAGACAAAAGAAAAAAAATCTTTTGTAAGTCCATGCCTAATTATGAAACTTTTCACTCTTGAAAGTAGAGCATTAATCAGAATTTTTTTATTTCTGAAGTATGACGAATGTATCATTGAAATATCTGAAAATTTGACATTAAGGCACAGTTTGTGACTATAAAACATTAAACTTTATTTCACAACAGAGTTCAATTTCAAAATGTTCTTCCTGTTCTCATAATTTCATTTTTAAACAAAACGAAAAAAGAGTAAAAGTTAGATGAACTTTTAATTGAAATTTTTTTCTTTAGCTTCAGGCGAGATTAAATCGAAGTTAGAAGAATCCTAAAATATCACTCAAAAAAACTTTTTTAACAGTAGTTAGAATATTTCTTGGTCAGTATTTATTCCAAAAGAAGCTACACGTGAAGCTGATTTTTATATTTGGATTGCTTTTCTGCTACCTGAACGGAAGCTTCGTTAAAAATTAAATTTTATAATTTTAATAAATGGTTCTCCTTGAAAATGTTCAAAATTTATTGGGGGTTCTTCATATTGTCTCAATTGTTTTATCCATAAAAGCCCTTTTTGATGGAAAAGCAAACTTTCGTTCTTCAGTTTCCCTTAATTTCATAGCTTGAGCAACAATAGAAACGGTTCTCTAAAAAAAGGTTCAAATACCTATCTGTCTTAGAAAAAGCAAACCTTTAACTTTGTAGACATTCATTGAAAATTTCCTTCATGCTAATGTAAAATATTTTTCGATATCAAACCATGAACCAAAAATGAAAGATAATCACTTAAATACTTACACTCTTACTCCACCATGAAAGTTTGTAATCGATTTTAGAAATATCATACGACCTTTTAAGGCGTCAAATGCTTTAAGCGAGACTTCCCCAATATTTCATGCTTTGTTATTATAGGACCAAGTCTCAAATGTCAAAATATTTACTAAACATACATGTGGAATGAAAATTTCCTGCTTAGCTACTTATAAAAGTTTTCGAATCTAAAATTTCTAAACCTCAGAACATGAAAAATTTCATTAGAATTAATCAAAAATTATTTCGATATTCATCAAATTATATTTCTAAATGAAAATCGAACAACATTTTAGATTTTATCAATTTTATTAATAAGAATAAATGAAAATAATGAGGAATGAAATAAAAGTATCAAAGAAGTTATGCTTTTCAATAGCCAACAAAAAAAATAATTAAAAATGTTAAGTTTTTCAATCAAAGATTCGATAATCGAGAAAGAATCAAAAGAAATGAGGAAAATGAAAGAAATTAACGACGTCGCTTATTGTAATTGAATTTCATCTTCAACAAATACTGAACGTTGACTTGTGCAACTTCATAAACAATGTATTCGTTGTAAAGTAAGCTTGATTGGAGTTTTTTGTCAGTGACAGGTTTTCCCATTGGAACAACGACACCATCGGAACGAGTGTGAGCTTGTTGGGGGTCAGGGAATGTTGTTCCCATACCTTTCGTCGAATGTTTTCCGCTCGGTAAGCTTTCAACATAAGAAGATCTTGTAAGTTCGAGTGAATCTCCCAAAGCGACTTCACTTAAAAGCATCAGCCCAACGTCGTTGCTTGAATTCGTGCAACAATAGTTTGCTGACTTCGAGACCATGTCAGCGAAGTAAATTCCTTTTCCAAACATGTAACCAGTGACAGGAGCTTCTGGTGGTGCAATTTTCAATCCATGAGACAAAATTCCAACATAATTTGTTAATCGCGAACCATGCCACAACAACTGACGATTGTGGAGCTTTTTGAACGGCTTGTAACGACGCGATTCACCTTGACGATTAACTTTAAAGACATCCATGACTTCCAAAGCATAAGCGTTGTGAGTTTCTGCATGAGTGTTCTGAACATAATCATTAATCAACTTGAATTCGTCTGATTTATGATCAATTGGCTTCATCTCTGTCTTCAACTGTCCGTAATGTGCATCGATTGGATTGATCTTCTCATCAGATTGTTCTTGTAACATTGAATAAGCAATTTCAACTTCAATTAAATTATCCAAAATTTCACGTTTATTTTGAATCATTTCCAATGTGTCAATGACAGGTGCACGTTCCATTCCAAAGTTATGTGGCACAAGTGTGAAGAATTTATTTGACAATCCAACGAATTCTTCACTTCCAGCACCACGAACAACAAGATCGTTTAAATCTTTCAAAGTTTGATAAGCATCATGAAGCTGTTTCTTACTTAATCGACCCAATGGCATTTTCTCCAAATCCAGTTCAAATTCCATCATCGTTTGCTTCATCAGATTAACATCAAACAACATATTGATAAGATCTTGTGTTGGTTTCGGTAGTTTCGATGGAATTTTAGACAATTCATTGACTTTAGCTGCTTTACTCCCGTCATCATAATCAACTTCAACTGGATAATACAATCCATGCTTCTTCACAAAAGATTTGCTTCCAAATGTGTTTCCTGTCTTCTCCTCGAATAAGCCCTCAAATCTTTCGCATGCTGATGAAGCTGATGGAAAACTTTCGAGTTTATGTTCACCAATTTTCGTGCCAATCCGTCCCCAAGCTCTGAACAGCCAATATCTTCCACCTTTATCTGCTTCAAGCACTTGAACCTTGTAATAGGAATTCTTGTTCTTACTGATGTCAGTCAAAGACAAGACACTCGTGTAAAGAACATTATCAAAGCGGTAAACATGAGCGATGTCATCAACACCAGATTGTGGATCAACTGCAGCTCCATTCTTAACCACCATGTTTGCAACTTTCTTTGTATTCTTTGTGTACAACGATTCTTTGACTTCATTCACTTCTTCTTGTGGGATTCTTGTCATCGGATCACTTCCCCAACTGCAAATTGACATTGTTTTGATCTTTTCAAAAGTTTCTGTTCGTTTTCCTCCTTTGACAGCATCAAGAAACTCAACTGGAACAACTTGAACATCCAATTCTTTTGCCTTTTTGATCTTTGAACTCATCTTACTAACTTCGTCAACATTACTTATAATTGCTGCGATTTTATCATGAACTGATGCGCTGATTTTTCCACCCAAAGTTTTCACCAAATACGTCAAGTCGTTTTTCTCTTTTGAAAGCTTTCCAACAACCACAAAATGCATGCCGTAAAGAGGTTCTCGTTCACGTTCTACTTTAGCTTTTGTTGATGTTTCTTCCTTCTTTGGCTTCTTCACATATGGCTTGATAGCACGATCTTCAATCTTTGAGCGATATTTTGTGAAAAATTCGTCGTTATTTTTTCCAGTCAAAGATGAAGGAATCTTACTTTTTGTTCTTTTAGGCTTCTCAACGAAATTTCCACATTCAAGCCATTCATCTGATTTCCCATTACAACGATATCCTCCTTTCGTGAAAATTAAATCGCCTTTCATACATTTTTCACATTTAGAAACAGCTCCAAATGTGAGAAAGTCTGCGCAACGATCTAGCAAACCGTCTTTTCCTTCGACCATTCCAGATCCATTTTTGAAAAGAATATCCTGTAACTGGCTTTTGGTGCAAAGTTCTTGAAGTTTATCACGAACTTTATATAATTTTTTGTTTTGCTTCTTCATTTCTTCTTCTAAGCCGTCCATTGCTTCATCAACTTCATCCTTTGGTTCTCCTTTTAATTTTTTGGCCATTGTTTCATCAATTGTGATTGCTCTAGATAATGAAAGTTTGGAAAAATTGAATTGAAGATGTTAAGACAAAATAAATTTTTGAACTTACTGTAAAGCACTTTTGACTTTTTTTCTGTCTGGAGCTGACAAATCGCTGAAACCTGGAAGCGATTCCCCACCTAAATAATATCCGTAGTCTCCTCTGATAGAAACAAAGCAATCAAGATGATGCCATAACGGTTGTCCTCCAAACTTTGCTCCTACTTCTGTGTCGTAAACAGTGCGCTTTATACGAATGTCATCAACCATGATTTTATTTTGACATCCAACACATGCAGCACGACTTGATCTGGAATATTCAATGCCGAAATCCTTAAGAACAATGTTATTCTCGATATTTTCTGCAGCTCTTTTCTTTCCAGCTTTTCCCTTCTTTTTTGAACTTGTTTCCGGAAGTAAAATTTCATTTAACTTCCCAATGTTTTTGCGAACAATTTCTTGGTCTTCATAACGAATTGATTCAAAGTGATCAATGTCATCGACTGTTTTTGGACGATGCTTTTCAAAGAAACAGCTTGAATGAAACCAATGAGGATCTTTTCCGTCATGATGGAATGACTAAATGTTGAATAAATATTAAATTATCAATTTGTGATTGATTTTATTTATTCTTACTTGAATCATAGCAGCAATTCTCAATTCTCCTTGATCAATCTTACATTTACATTTTCTGCAGCCTGCTCGTCCAGTTTTTGCGTATTCAATTTTGTAAGGAAGATCCTCCATTATGAGTTTTTTATGCCGCTTTTAAACTTTCACTTTTATCCTGATAAAAGTTGAGTTTATTTCATATAACAGTATTGACAACAACTGGAGATTAGAAATAAGGTAACAGAGACTTGTTTAATACTTTTTATTTGGTAAATTCAGAGAAAATTTAAAGAACAGCAACAAATTTTAGCGCTGAAATTAAAGCGTCACAAACAAGTTGAGACAAGTTTCGAATGTGGTAGTGTTTGTGCGTAATATTGTATTTTCTTAAACCGTATTTGAAAAGTGCAAAATTATGACTCATTAAAGTAGAAAAAATTAAAAAATTTGCGTTAACTATTTTATGAACTTTCAAATGCTTTCTTAGTGCACAAATTTTTTAAAAATATAATCTAAAATTGACAGAAAATTGAATTAAAAATTTTGAAATAATACTGGTCATTTTCATTCAAATATACGCGGGAAGGATTTGAATAACTGAAACTAACTTAAATTTGACTTTTGAACAGACTTTTGCTTATTTTTTCTATTTTTACTAAATTATTGGTTTTTCAAGAATGACAGCTCCTTATTTATATGCACAAGATTCAAAAAGGAAAGGATATGCATTAAAAGTTAATATTTCAATTGCTAACATTGTTAATTATAGAAACGCCGGTAATGTTTACAACTTTTTTCTGAACAAATCTAAAATTGTCAGTCAGACAATTAAAATCATATTCGGCTCATTTCAACTTCATTAGTTCGTGATGAAATAGAAAAAAAAATGTCGTATCAAGACATAATAAATTTAGTAAAAGATAAAGATGAGCTACTTTTACGGACTGAAACATTCAATGTTATCAAATTACTAATCAAAAAGTAAGTAGAGGATGAAATTTATTTAAATTTCATTAGTTAAGTCTTGATTTTTCACTTTTCTTGTTGATCGCCATGAGAGTGAGACGGCAAAATTTTCTTGAAAATCTTTTTCGCATGAATCATTTGAAATAAAAACTATGAAAAATGTGTTGTTTGACAAGATATTATGAAAATTTGTATAAATTTAAATGAAAGATGATTGATTGGAAAAAATTGAATAATTTGAAATTTAATGATTTTCTTTTTCTTGACCCATTTAGAGAAAACGAAATATTCAACCATGAAGAAAAATACAACGTTTTCTTCGATACCCTCATATCCCTTGTGGCTGAAAGCATAGCACAAATTCCATCATCAGGTGAGTGAAAGTTCTTTGTTTCATTCGATTCAATAACACTGAGAACGAATTTATTTATAGTTTCACAGTCAAAGCTGTTAACGTTGCTTGAGGCCACTCAGATAATCATTCGATACATCATTAAAAGATTTGAAAGCACAAATGCTCCAATAATTCTTCTCAAAGCTTTAAAATCTCTTTGCGACGCCAATTCTGGTCTCGAGAATCTTCAAGCGTATGCATCAATTAAATATCTGAAATATCCGGAAGTGTCAAAAACAAATGGCTCAGGATCAGACAAAGACAACAGCCCAAAATCAGAGGTGAAAAGATCTCGCTCTGAACTGTCGATTGTCATTATGCAGCAGCTTTCTCAGCCATTGTCTCAAGGAACTGTTCCATTGACAAATTTTAGTGAAACTCAGTTTGATTTCACTGTAAGTACATGAAAATTTGTTAAACATTCTTTTATATTAAACAATAATTTTTGTCATTTGCAGGAACTCTTCAAGAAAGAAGTGATGGATCTTCTAAAGTCATTAAATGCTAGTGAAGTTTTCCTTAAATGGAGTATTAACGCAATTCCAATCATTTCACCAGCGTATTCTCTCAAATATGAAAATTCTTTATTGTTGAAACAGAAATCACTACATTTGCCGCAAACTCAAAGTGAAGCTAATTCTGTTAAACAATGTTTGAAGCAAATCGACGTGGACATCAATAACATTCTTTGTATGTTGCAATTGCCTGTCATGGATCCATTAAATGTTGTGAAGATACGTCAATTGTCGCAATTATCAATGTCAGCACTTTATTGTTGCATTATTACTTCAGTTGCACATAGTTTGAGCTCAACTGCACCCAGCTCTGCAAGCACACAAACAGTAGCAACTAAAAATGTTTCTGCATCGACACAACAATCGTCAAGTTCTTCAGTTTCTCATAACAAAGAATCGACAAATGTTGCGGCAACTGAACAAGATCCATACGAAGAAGTGTCACGAAACATCGTCAACAACTCTTTGGAAATCTTTAAAATTATCAGCGAAATTTATAAAAAATCGACTCAAAATCACATTTATCAGAATCATTTGTGCATGGGCGCTTGGATGTTGTTGACTGGAATTCAAGGAGCGATGAGTGTTTCAAGTGGTTCACAGAAATCAATTGGACAACTACAAACAACACCAGAAGAATTTACAAGAAATAAAAGTCCATCGAAGCATCCAGAAAGTTCCACAACATCAACACCACAACCGAGAGTGAATCTTTTCAAAGTTCAACAAAGTTTTGGAGTGTTGAGTGCAGCTATCGCTAAACAAAGCATTCTCTTGCTAGAGTTACTTCTCAACGAACTTAAAATTGATTGCGCTAATGGTCTCGACTCTAAATACAATGACGATGTTTTGATTGGTCAACAACAACAGCAAATATTTACAGAACTCGTGAATTTTAATATTCTTAAGAATTACACGTCGATGGATCGAATTATTTGCGTATTTGAAGGAACGACAATTCAACAATTGAAGACCTTCCTTGCTACAATTGCTTATCGCAAAGGATGTTCATTAAAGCACCTGACAGAGTTTGGTGGTGAGCAATTAAGTTACAGCGATTCAACAACTTACTTCAATGACACATTGTCATGTTCTGAAGATGAATCCGATACGGAAGAAGAGGAAGAAGTTGGAGATTCAGAGGAAGAAGAAGATAGTGAAGGATATTTAGGATCGTGGTTGAAGGAAGCTTTGTCACCAGAAGGAAATGAAACTGAAAAAGATAAAAATGATAAACAAAAACAAGAAGACAATCAAAAGTCAGCTTCTAATGTGACACCAGCTAAAGATGAACCACATGAATATCTTGAGTTAGCTTCACAAATCTTTCAATTCTTAGACACAAAACTTGGCGATCCCGAGAACAAATTCTTAATCAAATACATTCGTCATGGATTGAGTGAACAACAAATGGTTTTACTTGCAACCATTCTTAAGGATCTCGATTCAGATGTTCAAATGGGAGTTAATAATAATCCACCAACAGTGACAATCACATCATCGAATGCTGTGTCAAATGACGCTGCAAATGTTGCAATTCAATGGCGAACTTCGATGGTGAAATTCTCGAGTTCAATTGGCAAATACATGCACAACATGATATCAAATTCATTGCTTAGTGAATCACTTCAGTCATTGCTTCTTCAAAATCTTGGCGTTTCGCCATGGTCAACAGAAACCAACACTTGGCCTTTGGAAGCATATTCGAGGATTCTCGCTGTTGTTGTTCAGATTCTTCTGTTAAAACCAAGTCAAGAGAAAGAAGCCGCGTGCTTGTCAGTTTGGCATCGTCTTGTTAACACTTTAGTTGAAGGTGTTTGTGGTGCAAATTCGAGTCAGTTTGATGAATATGAAGATCTTAACGTTGAACATGCTCAATTGCTGCTTTTCCTCTTCCACTCGCTTAACTTGATGCAAAAGAAATCAATTTTGTTGCTTGTTGCTGGTGGTGTCATAAGATGTGCTGAAGTTTGTCGAATGGTCACACCGGAAAAGCCACTAAGAGACAATCAATTGATGTTGTTATCAAGATTGCTTCTGTTTCTCGAGTATTTGATGAAACATCTTTACAGCCCTCCAAACATTCTTCTCGAACAAGTCAGTTGGAATCTTTTCAGTATTTTCTCAATGGATTCAGAAGAGAAATCTGCTGGCTTTATGACTTACAAGACCAAAATGATGTCGTTTTATCGTAAAGACATCGAAGATAAATATCGAAAGTTGTCAACAGTTCATGATGGAATAACAATCAAACCGAAGCTTTATTCGCTAACAGTGATTGATCCATCGAAACAAAATGAATTTAAGCTTGATGGACTTGCATGGAACTTTATTTTATGCACACCTGATAAGGTCAAATATCCATTGCTGATTGATTCTCTTGTCAGCATTTTAAACATCACTGACATGAGCACAGGAAAAATTCCACATCATTCTCAATTCTCGATTTATTATTGCTTCAGTTTAGCGTGGAAACTTTTACTCGGATTGCCACCTTCAACTTCACATGTTGAGAATTTAATTGGACTTGATGACAAACAAGTAAATCTTCACACATTATTATGGTCAACCAGATGTTTGAAGCCAGTTTCCAGCAATGTTCATTCACATAACTTGATTGTTGATTGTCTCATTCGACAAGGAATGTACACGCAAGCTGCCGAGACAATGTGGTTTAATTTAACAGAGAAACTTAATGATTGTAATCACATTTTAACACTTGCAAAGTTTGGATTGGAATCTTTTCTGCAATCTTTTCAAAGTCGTAAGTAAAATTTAATTATGAGAAGTTTAATTTTTACAATTTTTTTCTTTTCACAGAGTCGCCACGTTTATCAAAAATTATTCTTCTTGACAGTTTAATGTCGCATCTTTATAATTATCAGACATTAGTGGCAAATGGTGAAGCTGGAAAGAATGACGAAGCGTCCAATGACACGCCACCAACACGAATAATTGATGAAAGTTTGTGCAAGACGCTGATTGAGAAGTTGGTGCAAACAGCAGAGATTCTGATGAATGTTTTTAACAAAACAATGACACAAAATCTAAGTGGACAAACGCCACAAAAGATCATCGACTCGATCATTGCAATTTCGGGTACAAAAAGCAGCTTGTCATGTGATTTAGCACAAAATCTCGTTCTTTCTATACAATCAGCTGATAAAGAAGTGTTGACGATTGAATGGAAACGTCCACTGAATTTAAGTGAAGAATCGACAAACAATCACCCAGAACAAGGAACTTTGAACATTGTTGAAGCGCATCTTGCAGAAATTTATCGTCATCAAAATTATTCAATGCTTTTATCATTGAAAAGTGTCATTCGAAGTGTTATTAATTGGATTAATTACATTCTACCGAATTACGACGATACAAAACTTGATAATCGTGCGTTGGATCTTCTCGTTCCGATGCTTTTCGATCTTCGAACTGAATATCTTTACGATTCACTCAACAAATGCTTAGAAACTTTATTGATATGCGACACAAGTTCAGAAGTTTATCAATTGCTTGCTTATCGTCATTTACTCACTCACAGCTATTCAATTCTTATCGAGTATTGCGAATTGAATGTGACAAATGCTGGAAAGTCGATAAATGTTGACGAATCAATTGTTCATGACATTATTCGATTCTGGGAGAATGTCATGGAGAAATCAAATGGATTGAAAGCGATGCGTGAATTCTTTTACGAGACAAAAAGTGGAAGTTTAGTGAACATTCTCTTGTCATTCACTGGAACGAATTTATCACAACAATACAGTCATCGAGTGTTGAAATTCTTTGAGAAACTCTTTCAAATATCCGAAAACATGGATTCGTCGTTTTCAATTGATGAAGTTTGCAGTTCATTAGGTGAGTTGGGAGCAGTTGACAATGTTCGTCTTCGTAATTGGTTGAGTCACATTCTTCTGGGACCGAAAGGATTGTCAGTTGAAGGCGCAGTTTCAAGTGCAAACTCGAGTAATGTTCCAACGCCAACAAATCTTGGCGGCACGCAATCATCAGCTGCACCGTCACTTCCAATTGATAAGAATCGTTCAGTTGTTGAAACGGCTGAAGCTATGGAAGTTGATGAAGAATGTAGTCGAGTTGGTGGATTGCCTTCAGTTATTTGGACGCCAGTTGCGTTAACATCGACAACAAACGATCAAGCGATTGGTGGTGCACCAGAAACAAACGAGAATAACGGAAAACTTCTTCAGACACTCACCAAATATCTCGTCGCTGAAAATCGAGTATCGTCAGCTGTTTCGCAAGGATTATTTCAAGCGATGGTTCAACTGGGAAATAATTTATTAACAACTTCGATGGTTCCTGAATCAGTTTTAAGTGACTTTACATCGTTACTTCAAGTTATGATTACTTTAGCTGACGCTGATCAAGGACGTGGACATTCAATTTTATTCACTTCAGCAGTTGAATGGCTGGAAATATGCAAAAATCGCGTTCTTGATAAATACAGCAACAAAAACCAAGCAATTGTCTTCAACACAAATGCAAATGTCGCTGCAAAGATTCAACTTGAAAATGCAACTTCTTTGTTGAAATATCTCAGTGATTTGCTGATTGGTTTGAATGGTCAACAACGTCCTATTTCAACAGCTTGGGAAGATGACATCACGTTTGATATTGAAGATATTATCGCAAATGATCCATCAGCTGGCACTTCATCATCTTCTTCTGGTAATGTTGCAACGAGTGTTGAAGATGATTCTGAAGCAGCTGACGATTCTGATGAAGATGCTTCTAACAGTAAACTTTGCACATTTACAATCACGCAGAAGAACTTCATGAACCAACATTGGTATTGGTGCTACACTTGCAAGATGGTTGATGATAAAGGATGCTGTTCAGTTTGTGCTCGTGTTTGTCACAAGAATCATGACGTTTGTTATGCAAAGTTTGGAAATTTCTATTGTGATTGTGGAGCGAAGGAAGATGGATCGTGTCAAGCGATGAGTCTTCTTGATAATTCGTCATCAGCAGCAGCAAGTAACATTTCAACGATTGATAATCATGGAGAAATTTTAGTGAGCTCACTTAAACGTCAAACATCATCATCAGCAGTGACATCAACAACTCCAGCGACATATCCAAACAATGAATTCTTCAATAATCTCATCAGTCACAAGCAAGTCTTTGCAAAGGTCATTGACGGATCAAAAGATCAATTAAGTAATCAAGAAATGTGGCGAAATGTTTTAAAATGTTTGTTGAACTTTTGTTCAAGTCTCATGCCAATTGTTAAAGAGAATTGTGCGAAATTCTCAACTGTTGGTTGTCATTTACGTGCAAAGAATGCTTTGGATCGTTTACACCAACCCGAGAAAGCTTTCAGTTATAGTGAACAAATAATGATTGCGACGCTTGGATCACAAGAAGGCGCTTTTGAGAATGTTCGGATGAATTATTCTGGTGATCAAGGACACATAATTCGTCAACTTTTATCAGCAAATCTCATTCGTCGTGTTGCTTTATGCTGCTTAGCATCACCACAAGGAAAACGTCAACATCTTGCAGTTTCGCATGAGAAGGGAAAAGTCACAATTCTTCAATTGTCAGCTTTGTTGAAACAAGCTGACGCTGCAAAGAAGAAGCTCACATTAACGAGATTGTCATCAGTTCCAATCACTTGCATGGTGTTGTCACTCGTTGCAAATCCAGCAAATGAAGATTTTCTTGCTGTTTGTGGTCTTCGTGAATGTCACGTTTTAACATTCACAGCAAATGGAACTGTCAGTGAACACATCGTGTTGACACTTCACATCGACAATGGAAATTATTTGCGACGCGTTATTTGGCTGCCGGGATCGCAAACAAAACTTGCTTTAGTGACAGCTGAATATGTGAAGATTTACGATCTGGCTGAAGACACGGTGTCGCCAATCTACAATTTTGTTGTTCCATCTGGCGACATTCGCGATGTTTGCTTTGTGAATCAAGAAGGTTCATATTTTATGCTTATCATGTCATCACTTGGATATATTTACACACAACCTTTAACTGATGAGAGTCTTGCAGCTCATGGAGCGTTCTACGTCACAAATACACTCGAACTTGACCATTCTTACATTCGAGACGTCAATGGACAAATTCTTGGCGGTGGCGTTTCAATTTATTACTCGCACACACTTCAAATTCTCTTCTTTAGCTTCGCTATGGGAAAGAGTTTCATGGCGCCGTTAGTTGATGTCAATCAAGGTGTTAAATGCGTCATAAATCTTCTGCATTCATCGAAAGTTTTCTCGAAAGGAAGCTCAAATGGAACGCAATCGCCTTTGTGTCAATGGATGGAGATTCAAGGCCATCCTGGTCTTGTCTGTTCAATGATGCAAAACTCAAACAATCCCGTGATCTTCATGCTGAAACCTGATGGTTATTTAGTGCAAGAGATCAAAGCACAAAATCCTAAAGCGAAGATCATGGACATGGTCGCGATACGTCATCAAGTTAGTGGCGTTGAAAAGACAACTTTGATTCTTCTTTGCGAAGATGGAAGTTTAAGAATTTATGCAGCAAATAATGAGACGACAAATTATTGGCTTTCACCGGAAGTTCAACCAATTGGAAATTATTATAATTCGGGTATAATGAAAGATCGTGGAAGTGGAAAGAAGAAAATGAAGAAAAGTTCGGTCGTTAAGCAACAACAGAAAGTTCAACAATCAAGTTCTTCTGGTGCAATTGTTCCGTCATTTCCAATTGATTTCTTTGAACATTGCACAAATTTAACTGACGTTGAGTTCGGTGGAAATGATTTACTTGAAATTTACAACGTTCAACAATTGCAACATCGATTAAACTCGACTGGACTTTATGTTGCATCGACAAGATTCAATGGCTTTACGCTTGAAGTTGTTAATAAAGATGTCAACATGGTCATCACAGGAATTCGCTTTTTGATTGGAACTCAAGACGTGTCGCGTGGTCCAACAGCTGTAACAATTCTTGGACGAAAAATTCCAACAATTTGTACACGTTCACGATGGTTTGCTGTTCCATTGACACGCGAAGAAAGTTTACAAGCTGATAAGAAGTTGAATATTCATTTTTCACCATCACAAGATGCAGAATTTGTTACGATGCTTGATTCGATAAAGATTTATGGCAAGACAAAAGATTCGTTTGGATGGCCTGACGAGATTTTTGATGACACAACAATTGGAGCAACGACGACAACAACAACAACCGCAGCAACCACATCGCAAGCTTTAATTTCTCCAAATGAGACTGAAGAAGCACAAAATAATCCATTTACGATAACAGCACTTGATAAGATGGTGACGAGTGTTTTGGATGTCATTGACAATGGTTTTTATCTTCTTGGTGGATCATCTGTCGATATGAGCTTAAAACAACAAGCAATTGATGTAACGACGTCGTTGATTCTTCTTCCAACCCCAGGAATTGTTCAACAACTATCACGATCAGTTCTCGCTATTCTACATCCAACTAAAAGTCAATACCATCAATACAAAGATCGTGAAATTCTCAACGACATCAACAAAGAACTTCAAAATATGTTGACAGTTTCTAACTTTAAGAACGTCGATCCCGAAGGTTTTTATCGTTTGGTGTTAATGGTACGAAGCATCGCCATTCAAAGACCACAACAATTGACGAAGATTTGTCAGGAAAATAATTATCCGATTGTGACAGCGTTGATGAGTCTTGTCAAAGAACTTCATCGAATTTCATCAAGTTACGATGAGTCGATTGTTCATTATGGTTTAACACACAAAGAAGCGACAATTCAATCACTCATCGAGATTCTTTACGCTTTCATTTACACTGACAGTTCGTTAATTGAACAAATGGTGAAGTTTATGGTTGAACTTTTACTCGATAAGGATCCGCAAGTAAGTCACAGTGCTAAACATGCGATTATCAGATTATTACGGCCAAAATTGAAACGACAAAGAAAAGTTTTGATTGAGTCAACTGTGACACCGCCAAGTTGTCAAACGCCAACACCACAATCAATGCCAACAACTCAGATAATTGCTGAAGATGTTGCAAGCGGTGGCAGTGGAATTCAAGACGTTGATTTGATTGAACCTTTGGGTTTGATTGCCGCTGGTGGAGGCGGTGGAATTGCTTCTGGTGAGAATCGTGAGCAACTTGTAGAGTCATCATTGGAAGCACTTTTAGGAATGGCTGGTGGTGGAGGTGCTGCTGGTGCAGTTCGTGATGTTCATGGAGAAGCTTTAATGGAGTTTGCACTTGAGTTGTATTTACAAGAATATGACGGAGACATTCAAGCATTTCAAGGTCTCGCTAATCGATTGCGTGGTAATCAAACTTTCCAAGCTGTAGCAGCAGCAGCTGGAATAGATTTGGGTGGCGCAGTTGTTGCTCCAAACCAATCATCATCATCACGTGTTAACAATTCAGCTGGTGGATCAGATGATGACGATGAAGCAGCTTCAAATGCAGCTACTGATGGTTCTCGTGAAGTTGGCAATCAAAGACAAATTTTAACGACATCACCAAGTGCTGAACAATTGATGGACAATGCTGGTGATGGTGGTAGTGGAAATGGTTCTGATGGAAGTGGCGCTGAGTCCATTGGTGGCATTTCAGGAAGAAGTTCAACTTATGAAGAACAAATGCCGACATCGTCAACAAACTCACCACCAAAAGTTTCATCGTGTGGAAAATTGGAAGCTGTAAAAGATGAAGAAGACGTGATTGCTGAACAAGACTCATCAAAGTTACATCATTTACGGATTGTCATTCTCGACACTTTAATTGATAATTTCAGTTCACTTGAGAATATTAATGGACGTCAAGTGATTCCATTTATGCAAGTGATTCTAATGTTAACGACAGATCTTGATGGAACACAAGAACATGAAAAGAACATCATGACGAAACTTCTTTGTTTATGTGTTGAGAAGTTAGCAATGAATCCACCAACTCAAGCTGTCGATCTTTCAACACGATCAGACAAATCTGAAGTTCAATTAATTATTCTTCGTTTTGTTGGCATTTTAATGGGAAAAATTAAAACTTTGTCATCATCAAAATCAGCTGCATCAAGCTCGACAGCTTCAACATCAACAGTTGAAAATATTCAATTTGTCGCATCAGCAACTGCAAATCATCTGATGAAAAATGGCGCGATTGTTTATTGCTTAACACTTTTGGAATCTTTTCTTCCTTATTGGCGTCAAAATAATTTATCAAATGACGCAAACAATTCATCGCAAAGTGGAACAAATGGCGCAATTATCACATCATCAGGTGGAGCTGTTACAAATACACTCTTGAAACCGACAATTTATGGACCTGTTCCTGATATGCAACCATTTTTCGCTCGCCAATACATCAAAGGCTTAGCTGACATCTTTGAACTTTATCCACAAGTGTTGACAGAAATGGCAGTTCGATTACCATACCAAATTCTTAAATTGACAAGTTCAAATCAATCGCAACAACAGCAGCAACAACAACAACAGCAACATTCATATGATTCAGCTCACATGACGTTCACACTTTGCGAGTACATGATGCACATGAATTCGCCAGTTTTACGTCGTCAAGTGAGAAAACTTTTGCTTTATATGTGTGGAAACAAAGAACGTTATCGAAAGTTGCGCGATCTTCACTCGTTGAATGAACATATGAAAGCAATTATAAAGCTGACATCTGTCAATTGTCCTGGATTGTCTTATCAGAGTCTTGTATCGTTGATTGATCATTTGAAGTCATGTTATGAGATTGCTTCAGCTCGTACTGGCAATTGGCAAAGATTTTGTCTACTCAACACTGACATTCTTTCAACACTTTTGAGTTTGAGTTGCCATCAATTTGATCATGAACAAATCTCGACGATTATTCTTCAACTTCTTCAAGCAGCAGTTGTCTGTGTCAATCCAACGTCGACGACGCCATCACAGCCGACAATTCAGGAACCTTCAATGACAGGAACACAAGTCAAACAATCGTCAAAGGATCGAAAAGATCGAGACAAAAGCGAAGAAATGGATAGTTCAGGAAATGAATCAAAGTTTGATCCAGCAAATTGCAATTTATTGGTTCAACAAATCTTCAATCAAGTTCACATTTCAAATCTTACACTTTTCATTAAAACCTTTTTATTGGAAACAAATGCAATTAACATTCGTTGGTTGGCTCATGGATTGATTTATGCTTTTTATGATAACAGTAATGAAGCGAATAAAAGTAAACTTCTTCAATCGCTGTGGGGTTTGTGGCCATTACTTCCTGCTTATGGCAAGCGCGCACCACAATTTGTCGATCTAATTGGATTCTTCACATTAAACACAAAGTCAGCTGTTCATACTTTGCCGGATAAGATCACGAAAGCTGTTAAAGTTTTAAGAGAACAAAATGAACTTGTTGCCAAACATCCATCAGCTGCTTTGTACACTGTCTTGAATCAAGTGTTGGAACTTGATGGATTCTACTTAGAATCCGAACCTTGCCTCGTATGCAACAACATCGATCAATCGATGTCAATAATTAAACTCACATCAATCAAAATGGACTCAAAATTCACCATGAATTGTAACATCGTTAAACTGGTGAACTCGCATGTCATTTCAAAAATCATTCTTCGAATTGGTGACTTGAAGAGAACAAAAATGGTTCGAACAATTAACATTTATTATAATAGCAGAAATGTTCAAGCTGTTGTTGAGTTGAAAAATCGTCCATCAATGTGGCATAAAGCAAAAACAGTAACATTGCAATCAGGACAAACTGATGTAAGCTAATTTATTTAATTTTGAATGTTAGAATAATTTTTCATTCCTATCTAGGTGAAAATTGAACTTTCATTGCCAATAACGGCGTCAAATTTGATGTTTGAGTATGATGACTTTTATGAAACTGTCACAAGTATGCCGGAGAGCTTACAATGTCCACGATGTAGTGCGACAGTGCCAGCTAATCCTGGAGTTTGTAACAATTGTGGTGAACATGTTTTCCAATGTCACAAATGTGAGTTTTAAATTTATTTCAGGGATCGGAACTAGATGGAATTTTTCGATTGGTTCCAACCGGTTCTAATTTTAATATCACTTTCGATGTCTGATTTATGTAAATTAATTATTAATTAAATTATTCATTTCAACAGGTCGCGCAATTCATTACGACGAAAAAGATCCATTTTTGTGTCATTCATGTGGATTTTGTAAGTATGCAAAGTTTGACTACAGCATTTATGGTCGTCCAACATGCGCCGTTGATCCTGTTGAATCTGATGATGATCGCTCGAAAACTGTTCAAACAATCAACAACTTACTGGAGAAAGCTGACAAGTCTTATCGTGAAATTGTCAATGTCCGTCAATCTTTAGAACTTTTGATTCCGAAAATTGCTGAGGGAAGTGGATCAAGCACGGATTTGATTGTTGGAAATGTTTCCAATTCACTTCACATCAATAAGATTGTTCAACAAATGGAGAAGAAATATTGCAATGAAGGACGAACTCACTTTGATGATTTAACTAAAATTGTCCAAAAAATTCAAGCTTGTCGTCGTGAATTGGTTGCATATGATCGAAGTCAAATGGATCCATCATCAGCTCCAATGACGCCAACTATTCCTACCATTGATGCTAATGATTCGATAGCTCATAGCAAATGTTATGGTTGTGCATTGTCATCGATCGAACAAACATTGTCGTTATTGAAAGGAATGGCAACACAAATGCAATGTCGTGAGTTGTTGTGTCAAGAAGGATTGATTGAAGAACTTGCATTTAACAGCTTAAGAAATGGAACTGATCAAAAGATTCAAGAAGAAGTTCGATCTTTACTTTGCCTTCTTACTCGTGATCTTCCAGAACCAACAGAAAAGTTATGCAACGTTTTAACGCAGAGAGTGATAACAGCTTTGGATGGCAGCGTGTCATTTGTGAATCTCGATCAAGCTGTTCGTCATGAAATGGCTTTGTTGGAAGCAATGGCATTGCAAGAAGATTCATGTTGGCAGATGAAATTAAAACCAATCATCAATTTATTCCTGAGAGCGAGTAAAGACGTTCGTGGACCTGCAACAGCAGTCATTCAACCGTGCTTGCGTGTTATTCACTTCATGTGCAATCCACCAGCACCAACCAGTAAAACGAACAAAGGAAAGACATCAGCTGAACTCAGCACAATTAAAATATCCGATGGAATTTCTATCAATCCTAATAAATGGTTGGAAGGTGATCCAAATCATTCATTTGAAGCTTGGAAAGCTCGTCAATCTCCGAATGTTTCAACTTCATTACCAATTGACGCAACAAAACCAAAACCAGACACTTTCATTGCTGTGATGGAAGAAAAACGTCAACAGACACGAAACATTTATTTAATGGAGAAATTCGGTCATCGCTGGCATTTGAAAACAATCAAGAAACGAGTAAAGAGTCAACCACTGAAATTGATTCCAAGTTATTTGCCAAGCATTTTGTTCCATTCAACATCGCGACTTGTTCGTTTCAATGCTTGTGCTCTTGTCACATCTTGGATGACAACACATGAACGTAAACTTCATTTATTGAATTTGCTTACATGCTTCTTGAAGTACATTGGCGAAGCTGGTGAAGCAAGTGCTGAATTTATTGATCTTTACAAGCAATTAGCGCAGGAACCACCTTATCGTCAGTATTTGGCTTTGAATCACGTCATCACTGATATTGCTGATCTCTTGAATTTTGAGTTCGAGAAGATTTACAAGCTTGAAGAAACGACATCATTATCAACTGATTTGGGACAAGGATATGCTTTGAAGCAGTACGTCGATCTTATTTCAATGTTCTTAGACAATCCGCAAATACGAAAAGCTTTCAAAGGTCTTGTCTTGCAAAGCATCATTCAAAGTTACCTGAATTTAAGGAAATTGGTGGTGCAACGAACGTGCATGATTGATGAAGCGCAGAAGAGTTTGATGAACTTATTGGAAGAGTTGACGAGTGGAACAGAAGAAGAAACTGCTGCTTTTATGGCAATTTGCATTGACATTGTTCGTAATACTCCGGCAAATGAATTAAAGACGCCTTTGTTCATGTTTGAACGTTTATGTTCAACAATTCATTCAGAAGATTCAGACATTGATGAGTTCTTCTTGAATCTTGAGAAAGATCAGCTGCAAGAAGAATTTATACAAGGAAGAATGCTTGGTAATCCTTATCCATCGTCAGAAGCTGGTCTCGGCCCATTAATGCGTGATGTGAAGAATAAAATTTGCTTCGATTGTGAAATTATGGCGATGCTGGAAGATGACAATGGAATGGAACTTTTAGTTCATAATAAGATCATCAGTCTCGATTTGCCAGTTAAGGAAGTTTACAAGAAGGTTTGGTTAGCTGGTGGTGGTGAACGTGACACAATGAGAATCATTTATCGAATTCGAGGATTGTCTGGTGATGCGACAGAAGAATTTGTTGAAAGCTTGAAGCAAACAAGTGCACAAGAAGAAGATAATGAACAAACTTATCGAATGGTTAATGTTGTTGCTGACTGTGGTGGACTTAAAGTCATGTTAGATCGAATGGGTTATCTTCAAAATGTGAGCAAATCGAAACAATTCCTTCAAACACTTCTTAAACTATTTCTCATGTGCGTGAAAGTGAAGAAATGTCGCGAAGAATTTTGTCAACCAGAACTTGGTGCAATTTCTACTTTATTGAAGGTTCTTCATCTTTGTCTTCAACATCAAGTACAAGAAAATGATCCACAAATGTCGACAGTAACTGAACAACTTTTGGAGATTATGGAAACGATTTTGGCAAAAGCAGCTTCCGATTCTTTGGACTCCTTCTTGCAATTCTCATTGACTTTTGGTGGTCCCGAGTATATTGAAGCTCTTTTGTCATGTACAAATCATGCTAATGTCAGAAACAATCCTCACGTTCTTCGTTGCTTAATTAGAGTTGTTGCAGCGCTTGTTTATGGAAATGACATCAAAATGGCTTTATTATGTGATCATTTTAAGTCTTGCTTCGATTTTGAGAAATTTGATGTTGAGCGAACAGCTGAAGAAGAATTTCAACTTGAATTGTTTTGCATTCTTTGTTCAGCCATTGAACGTAATTCAATTGGAGGAATTTTAAAAGATTACATCATGGGATTGGGAATTGTCGATAAAGCAGTCGATTACATTGTCAAATATGCGCCATCAAATCGTTTGATCCTTCTTCCTTTCGCTTCATCATTGGACTCAGATGAACTCAAATTATTCATCTCCAAACCTTCTCTCAAATATATTCTTCAATTCTTAAGTGGGTTAGCTTCGAAACATGAGAAAACGCAGCTTGTTGTTGCTAAGGATCTTATCCCAATCGTTCATCAACTTGAACAAGTTTCATCTGATGAACATGTTGGAAGTTTAGCGGAAAACCTTCTCGAAGCTTTAAGTTCAGAACCAGCCACAGCAAAAACGGTTCAAGAATATCGCGATTCAACACGTGCGGAAAAGAAACGTTTAGCAATGGCAACACGTGAGAAACAGTTAAACGCTATGGGGATGAGAACAAATGAAAAAGGTCAAGTAACAGCTAAGGAACAAGTTCTTCAAGAAATGGATAAATTGGCTGAAGAAACTGGATTGACTTGCTTTATTTGTCGTGAAGGCTACGCATGTCAACCAAACCGTGTCATTGGAATTTACACCTTTACAAAACGTTGTCCTTTAGAGGAATATGAACAAAAATCAAGGAAAACTATGGGATATACTTCTGTCACTCATTTTAACGTTGTTCACGTCGATTGTCACATGAGTGCAATTCGAATGTCACGAGGTCGTGATGAATGGGAAAGTGCAAGTCTTCAAAATGCAAACACAAAATGTAATGGACTTTTGCCATTATGGGGTCCTGATGTCAGTGAAACAGCATTTTCAGCCTGCATGGTGAGTTTTTATTTATTTTAAAGAAATGATTTAAATCGTAGAAAGTGACATGCTCACTTCTTGAATCATTTGAATTCCTAAAAAGTCGGTAAATTTCCACCAACTACCTAGCTCTATTAAAATTTAATTTTTTAAAGGGACGTCATAATGGATACATGCAAGATAGCACACAACGCATTGAAATTACATTTACAAGTGGAATTCATGATTTGAAGTTGCTTTTGTTGAGATTTGCTCATGAAAAAACCTTCCACGATGACTGTGGTGGCGGTAAGTAAAAAAGCAGAATAAGAAGTAATGAAAGCCTGCAATTAATTAATTTCTTATTCTCAGGTGGCCCACAATCTAACATGCATCTTGTTCCTTACTTGATGTTCTTTGCGCTTTATCTCTCACTTTCAACTCGATCGTACATCAGAGAAGAGAAGAGTTTGACAGCTTTTTTGAATCAGCCATTGTCAGAAAAATGGTTTGAGTCGTCTTACGAAGTTGATGGACCGACATATCAAATTGTCCTTAGCATTGTTCTCCATACACCAGAAATGTGGACAAGGAATAAAATTAAATTTCTTAAGCGTTTATTGGTTACTTACCACATTCGTCATTTGTATCCGTCGTCAACATGTAAAGCATTGAATGGAGTTGGTGACAAAGATGTGAAGGAATATGGAATCTACAAACCAGGATTGATGCTATTTGCACTTGTTGAGATAATTTATCAACAATATTTCTCTAAAGTTGTTAATCCAAAAGATGAAGATTGGCCAGTTTCGTTATTTGGATTTATTAGAAAAAACGACGAAGCGATGATGAAATCAGCAGTTTCAACTTTGGAAAACTTCCGAGAAGAGTTTTTGCCATGCACTTCATTTGCTGAATTTTGTGATGTTGCTGGTGAGTTAAATTGTTAACTTTGCATATTTTCTTTATTCTAATTTCTTTTATTTATATTTCAGGACTTCTCGGTGAGATTGAAGATCCTGATGGCTTCCTTGCTGAACTTTTGCAGTCTTTGCCAGGATCAGGTGGAAAATAAAATAAATTTGCTTATATTAATGATGGAACTGGAATGATGACATGAAGATGGTATTAAAAGAAAAGAAGAAATTATTTGATAGCTTGGATTGGATGAGATGAAAATTTTCAAATTTAATTAATCAAGTTATGATGAAAAATATTTAATCAATTTGTGTTGCAAAATTAAAAATATGAAAAATAAATAAAAAATAATGGCTTAAAATATAAAAGTTTTTATTTTAGATATTTAATTATTAAATATTACGAAATAGTTTGAAAGGAAAAGCTTCAAAACCTCTAACTTGTCATGATGACATTTAGTTTCACTTGAAAACATTTTAAACCAGCACGATATTATAATAAAAATATTATTTCAAACTCATGTTTTGGAGTCCTTTATATAAATTTGTTGCTTTAGGCTTACAAGCTACTAGTTTTCTTTCAACGGTCTACTGATGAATTGTTTAACTGTGCTGACATTCCTTGTGATATTCTTCTATGCTGAAGCATGGCATCCATTGGATTTCAAAGAAGAAGATCTGAAAAATATTTGGACTGCCCCACAAAATGCAAAAGCAGTTAATCATATAGCAAAAACAAACGGGAGCAAGGCAAGTGTGTTGCTTAAGAAATTCAACCCTCGAATAGTGAAAGGATTTAAAGCTACACCAGGAGCAGTTAATTATCAAATATTTTTGCTTATTGGTGATGGATATCTTTGCGGTGGTTCGATGATTAAGAGAGATTGGGTTTTATCAGTGAGTGAAGAAAATTCATCAAATTGTAATTTAATAATCATTAAATGTGATCAAATATTCAGGCTGCCCATTGCGTATATGATCAACCAACTGTAACCGTTTACATGATTTATAGCTTAGATGTTGGATATACTTGGAGAAGTCCAATGCTTTCGGCTAAAATTCATGAAGAGTATAACGATATTACGCTGGCAAATGACATTGCACTTTTAAAGACAAACTTAAACGAAGTTATTAAATGTTAGGCGAATATTTAAAGTTCGACACTTAAAGTTAAATTTAATTATTTTTTTACATTCAAAGTTGAGGATTTGCTTGTATATTCACTGCACGATAATGGAGATTTTTATGCAAATGTAATAGCAACTACATGTGGGTTTGGAAGGGTCAGCGATAGGTCAACTGACATTTCAATGGATATGAAATGTGCCTACAATATTGTGATTACCAATGTACAGGTAACTTGAGATCATTACATTTCAGAGCTTTACATTAAGTGGAAAAAGTTTTTCATTTTGAAACGATTTGGAATTTACTTTCATATTGCAACTCTTCATTTTTCTTTTTCTTTCTGAAGATAAGAATTGACATCAGACTAAATTTTTATGGTTTTCAATTACAGTGTAAATTTACTTGGGATGTTGATGAACATCAAATGTGTGTCGACACAACTGGAGGTAATTGAACTCAATTTATCTTTTTCTTATCTTTTTATTTATTTCTTTTCTTTTGATAACATGAAGGAGTTGGAGCTTGTCAAGGTGATTCTGGTGGTCCCGTGACTATAAGTTATCCACATTCTTTGAATGGCAAGATTCAAATTGGGATTGTATCTTATGGAGCAGATGTTGGATGTGAGAAGGGATACCCCAACGTCTACACACGAGTTGGAAGTTATGCCGATTGGATAACTACGAATGCAATTAGCTAAAGCAAAGTTTCTATGAAAAGCTTGTTTTAAAAGAAAATCTGTACAAGCAATTTCATAAATCAAATAAAGGTTTAATTGAATTAAATATTATTTTTAATTTAAATTATTTTTAGCATTTAGTAATGCCATCCTAATTTCCCAGTTAACTTTTTTAATTATTTATTAATAAAATTTTTATCATTTATTTTGAATTACAGACAATGTTTGAGATTTTAGTTCATTTTTGTGTTGATATTCACATAAATTGCTTTTTTAGAATCTCCTGAAGATGAGTCGAAATTAGTCGGTTGAAGAAATAAAAATTGTACAAAAAATCTGAAAAAGACGTCTTGTAAATGAAAATTAAAATAAGATGAGTTTAGTAATGAACGGAAATGCTGAATGGAAATCTATTTTTATTTATGGGAATAAAAATTGTCAACAATGTTTACTTAAAATAGATACAGAATTAATTGAAAATTCGCTTTCACTTAAAATACTAACACACATTAAGAATTTCAATCTTTCAGTTTACGCGACAATGAATGTTTGACTCCATAAAGTATCACATCAACAATTTGTTTTTGACTTTTTTTTAGTTTTTTTAAACATTGAAGTCAGTTTAATTGTGTTCGTCGAACAGTGAGGACGAAAAATTTTACTTAAAACACGTTCGTCACGAAAATTTAAATAAGTTGTAATTAAGAAAAGCAAAAGGCAAATATCTACTTAATTAATAAAAGTTATTATTTAAAGATGGCCACGTGTGAGAAAATTCCATTGACATTTTTCGTGAATGGCAAGAAAGTGAGTTTAATCAATTATAGATAATTTAAAAGAAGATTTAAATGAAATTTTAGATTCATTATTTACAAATAGGAATTCTGCTACTGTTTTATTAAATCTACATTTTAATTGATAAAAGTTGATTATCAAATAAATATTTGACGATTCAAAACTTAGACAATTAGAAAGTTCGAATGTTTTCTGCTTATTTACTTACGTGTAAATTTGAGATGTTGATGATTTACATGATTTATAAAACAAGATTTCAAATATATATTTGTTTGATATATTATGACATTTCATGTCATGTGATGAACATTGTTTATCTAAATTTGCCATAACAAAATTACTTAATTCTAATCTGGATATTTCAAATCCTTCTTCGAAATTTTTCTAACAGTTTAAATTAAAAACAATGATTTATTATCTCTTAATTATATTCAGATATCTGATAATGAACCTGACCCAGATTACACGCTTCTTCGATATTTACGCGAGAAACTTCGTCTTTGTGGCACGAAGTTAGGATGTGATGAAGGTGGGTGTGGTGCATGTACGGTGATGTTATCAAGATATGATCGCAAAACAAAAACATTGAAGCATTTAGCTGTCAATGCATGTTTGACTCCAATTTGCAGCGTACATGGACTTGCAGTGACAACCGTAGAAGGCATAGGCAGTACGAGAACACGACTGCATCCAGTTCAAGAAAGAATTTCTAAAGCTCATGGATCGCAATGTGGTTTCTGTACTCCTGGAATTGTTATGTCAATGTATGCCTTACTCAGAAGCACTCCAAAGCCGAACATGAAAGATTTGGAAGCAACATTGCAAGGCAATCTTTGTAGATGTACTGGCTACAGACCAATAATTGAAGGATTTCGAACATTCACTGCTGATTATGAATGTGGAATGGGAGATAAATGTTGCAAATTATTAAACGGAAATGAATGTGGAGTTGAAGTCGAAAACAAATTATATGAACCGAATCATTTTGCATCTTATGATCCATCACAAGAACCAATTTTTCCGCCCGAGTTAAAGTTGAGTGACATTTATGATCAACAAACGTTGAAATTTACAAATGACAGAAATGTGGTCTGGTTCAGACCAACAAGTTTGAAGCAACTTTTAGAATTTAAGAAGGCACATAACGATGCGAAGATTGTAGTTGGCAACACTGAAGTTGGAATTGAAATTAAATCAAAGAATTTGGATTATAAATTATTCGCAAGTCCATTACAAATTGACGAGTTAACAAGAATAGAAGTTAACGAAAAAGGAATAAAAGTGGGATCAGCAGTGACTTTAACAGAATTGGAAACTGTTCTTAAACAAGAAATTGAAATTAGAGTTGAACATGAAACTCGACTCTTTAAAGCGATTCTTGAGATGCTTCACTGGTTTGGTGGACAACAAGTTCGCAATGTAGCTTCGGTTGGTGGAAATATTATGACAGCATCTCCGATTTCTGATTTGAATCCAATTTTTGCTGCTGCTGGTATTGAGTAAGACAATCTCGGAAATTTTTTATATTTAAGCTAATTTTTCTTAAGCTTTCTTTTCTTATTCTTAGACTTGAAGTTGAAAGCTTCGACTTTGGAAGGAAAACAATTAAAATGAGACAAGATTTCTTCACAGGATATCGAAAAAACATCATCAAAGATTCTGAAGTTCTAATTTCAATATCCCTTCCAAGAACATTTAAAAATCAATACTTTTTGGCATACAAACAAGCGAAACGTCGAGATGATGACATTGCAATTGTCAACGCAGCATTTAATGTCGTTTTCAAGGAAGAAACGAATATCATCGATAAGATGGAACTTGCCTTTGGTGGCATGGCTGCAACAACTATCTTAGCTTCAAAAACGTCAAACGCAGTCAAAGGCAAAACTTGGGATCGAAGCTTAATTGAAATCGCCAATAAAAGTTTGATAGAAGAAGTTCAATTGTCATCTGATGCACCTGGTGGAATGATTCGTTATCGCCGCTCCTTAACTCTGAGTTTGTTCTTCAAAATGTTCTTGGCAATCAGCCAGGAATTAGAGAAGACAAATCAATTCAGTTTAATCGATGAACGTGAAAAAAGTGGTGCGAGAACTTTTCATACTCTTCTGCCAAAAAGTTCTCAATTGTTTGAGGTGAGAATTGTCAGATGATTTAAATTTCTTTCTTGAATGAACTTTTACACCCAACATTTTAGAAAGTGTCAACTAATCAACCAGCTATTGATCCAATCTACCGACCAAAAGTTCACTCTTCAGCTTTCAAACATGCAACAGGTGAAGCGGTTTATTGCGATGACATCCCAAAATTCGAGGGTGAACTTTATCTTGCATTAGTATTAAGTGAGAAAGCACATGCAAAGATTATTTCAATCGATGCAACGGAAGCTTTGAATCAGTTTGGGGTGCATGCATTTTTGTCAGCTAAAGATTTGCCAAAACAACAGAATCAAATTGGGCCACTTATTAATGATGAAGAACTTTTTATCAGTGAAATTGTTACGAGTCAAGGACAAGCTTTAGGGGCAATTGTGGCTGATAATAAAATGATTGCAAGAAGAGCTGCAAGACTTGTAAAAGTTGTTTACGAAGACCTTTTTCCGGTTATTGTAACAATCGAAGATGCAATCAAACATAAATCTTTCTTTTCTGACCATTCAAATGTGTTGACTCATGGAGATGTTGAAAATGCTTTTAAAATCGCTGATCAAACCCTCAATGATGAATTTCGAATTGGCGGTCAAGAACATTTCTATCTTGAAACACAAGCAGCGATTGCCGTTCCAAAAGATGGCGATGAGTTGGAGATATTTGCTTCAACTCAACAACCAGGTGCTGTTCAAAAACGAGTTGCACAACTTTTGAATATTCCGACAAATCGTATCACAGTTCGAACCAAACGAATTGGCGGTGGCTTTGGTGGCAAAGAAACTCGTTCAGCAGTTGCATCAATGCCTGTTGCATTTGCAGCGTATACAATTGGAAAGCCCGTTCGAATGATGTTAGATCGAGATGAAGACATGATGATTAGCGGCACACGACATCCATTCTTGTTCAAATATAAACTAGCTTTTATGAATGATGGAAAGATTATTGGGCTTGATATTCAAATCTATAACAATGCTGGTTTTTCACTAGATTTTTCAGCTCTTGTGATGGAAAAAGCGGTTCTTTCTATCACAAATGCTTACGAAATTTCAAACGTAAGAATTGAAAGTAAAGTTTTAAAAACAAATCTTCCAACAAACACAGCTTTTCGTGGCTTTGGCCAACCACAAGCTTCAATGGTTTCAGAACATATAATTCGTGATGTGGCAAGATTTCTTAAAAAAGATTATTTGGATATCATGACGATTAACATGATGAAAGATGGAGATTTAACACATTACAAGCAATTAGTTGAGAATTGCACCATGCGACGTTGTTTTGATGAAGTAAGAAAAAATTCTGAATTAGAAAGACGTTCGTTGGAAGTTAAAAAGTTTAATGAACAAAATCGATGGAGAAAACGAGGCATCAGTTTAGTCAACACGATGTTTTCTATTGGATTTTCTGAGAAATTTCTTAATCAAGCTGGTGCATTGGTTCACATTTATACTGATGGTCATGTCTTGATTTCCCATGGTGGTGTTGAGATGGGCCAGGGATTGCACATTAAAATGCTTCAAGTTGCTTCTAACGTACTGAAAACTCCTATTGAAAAAATTCATCTACAAGAAACAGCTACAGATAAAGTTCCAAATGCAACATCAACAGCAGCTTCTGTAAGCACTGACATGTATGGTGGAGCTGTTATGGAAGCTTGCAAAATATTATACGATCGATTGACACCTTACAGAGAAAGGAAACCAGAAAAGAATTGGGATGAATGGGTTAATGATGCTTATTTCGATCGAGTATCATTGTCAGCGACAGGTTTCTTCAGGACTGATGACATAGGAGAAGATGTTGGGAAAATCTTTAATTATTTCACAAATGGTTCAGGAGTTTCCGAAGTTGAGATTGATTGTTTGACTGGTGATCATCAAGTCATAAGAACTGACATTGTTATGGATGTTGGATCATCAATTAATCCGGCAATTGATATTGGACAAATTGAAGGTGGATTCATGCAAGGTTATGGATTATTCACGATGGAAGAACTCATTTATTCACCTGAAGGAAAACTTTATTCACGTGGACCTGGCATGTATAAGATTCCAGGTTTTGCTGATATTCCAGCTGAATTCAATGTTTCCTTATTGACTGGCGCTCCTAATCCAAGAGCGGTTTATTCATCTAAAGCTATTGGTGAACCTCCGCTATTTATCGCCTCTTCGGTTTATTTTGCAATTAAGGAAGCCATTGGTGCAGCAAGATTGGAAGAAAACCTTGATCCACATTTCAATCTTTCATCACCAGCAACAGTTGCAAAGATAAGAATGGCTTGTCAAGATGATTTCACAAATAAAGTAAGTGAATTTCTCTTTTTTACTGATATTTATTGAATATTTTATTTTTCAATTTATAGATTAAAGAAGATGGTGAAGGATGCAAATCGTGGAATATTATGCCATAATATAAAATCTCTGCTTATTTTTGTATTGAAATATGCGAATAATAAAGAACTAGGTATCTATTTAACAAATCAGTAAAACGTCAATTTCTTCAAAACTTTTTAACATCTGAGGAGGCACAAATCCGTCTTTACATTTTTTGTGATCGCCAATTTCCATATTCTGAAGTGGAACCGTGGAACAACAAAACAAGATTTATTACACAATCAAAACAAACAGAACAGGAAGCATTTTAATACGTTCCAGAATTATATTGAAAGTATTTTCTAATTACACAAATGACATTCAACGCTCATATTTATTTAATTATCTAAAAGTTTCCAGAAGTGACTGAAATTTTAATTTTTTTATGAGTTGGATTGTTTGTTTACAATTTGTTTGAAAAAAATGTATGAGTGGTACGCAGCTTTTATGATATTTTCACATTATTTCACAAGTGAAATTAACGGGTTTATTTCAAATTCTCGCGCTCAGAACCTTTTCAACCCTCATAGAAAGCCCTGGGTTTGAGAAACTCTTCAGGGTTCGGGAAATACAAATACAAGACTAAAATTCATCGTTTGTGACGGTCTACAATATTTTAACAAATAAAGTGGTAAAAAAGTTCGAAAATTATCTAAATATGTTGTGATATGGTGCATAAGATACCTAATAATTCGGGTATATGAAAGATTAAGTGATGGAAAAGTGAAAACGTATATAAAAATCTAGTCAAAATATCACCGTAAAAAAATAAGAAAAAAAGTTATTCAATCCAAAAAGAAAAAAGAAAAGAATTCACATTGGATACGCAAAAGAACCACTCACTTATGGATCGTTTAGACAACGATGAGCTGAAGGAATGGTCGCAAAATCAGCCGCTAAGCATTCTCCGGCTTGATCCAATCGATAGAGCAATATTGAAAATATCAGGCAAGTTTCATCGAACAGTTTCTATCTATTCGTCTTCATAGCGGAAATTCATTAATTATTACTTTGTTGTAAAGTTCTTCATGCTCTTCTTCGTTTTGCACTTACCATAAGATTCTTTGAAAAGATATTCAACACAGTTTAAAGATTAACATGCAATCGCGAATAAGAGAAATTTAAAAGAGAAAGAAAAAACAGTGAAAATTGGACAAGCAGGGAAATGAAAACAACAACAAAATGAGGGTGGATGAGAAGAAAAAAAATCGATATTAAAACGTCGATGTTTTTGTTTTCCCCTCTTGTATTTGAGGGATTTCCTGTAGGATAAATTGGTTTCTATGTCAAACTCTCTTTAAATCTCGAATTACCGAATTAAAAATAAAAAAGTGTTGATGTTCTGTTAACTGAAAAATATTAATTTTCGTAAAGTGACTCATCTACTGCTTGCTTTCCCAGTTCACGTGTTATAAAGGAAGATTTTGTTTTCTTCTCATTCCACCCTCGCAACGCGCCACGTTGCTAAATTTCTGTTGCCAAATGAGAATATAAAAAAATAGAGCAAAGAAATGATAAAGCATTCAAACAACCTCCAGAGTTACATCGCACAACTATCGTTATAACTTTCGTGACTGTAATTAACATACAATTGGATACATAGGCTAGTGAATGTGTTGATTCAGATGGGGCTTGTTGCGCGATAAATTATCATATAAAACTTTATTCACTATTAAATGGATGAGTGAGAATTTATTTTACTCTCACATTCTCTCGATAACCTTTCGCAATGTTTCGTTATTGACCCATTAGAGTATAGAAATTTATCCACTTCAAAATAAATCAAATGTAAACCCACTCTCAGAATTGTTATGGAAACTAGAGCAAATATTGCGCATTTTATGGATTGATTTAATTTATCTCCTTCTGCAGGTATTGTCGTTAATGTTAATTTTCGATCCTCCTTCTTAGTTTGTCATAATTTACAACTTTTTCTAAAGAACATTCATTAGCGTCATACTTAGTTATTCCACATTGGTGGTCGACTTGTGATTTTGCATACGATCTTTCTCTCTATTGTTATTTAGTTCCATTGATTACGGTTGAATGAATAGCATCGCGTAAAATTATCCATTATTTGATGTTTCACCTTCAACAAAGAGAAAAAGCCGGCAAACCTCACGACGTTTCATTCATAAATGGAAATGAAACGTAAACAAACAAGCCACCGAAAAAAAGATAAAATGTGAGATTTATAAATTGAGTGGGATCAGGTGTCAGGGGTGCGTGCGTTGATTATTTTAATATTAAGTTGTTAGGTGTGCCAATCGAAGTCTCTGAATCATCTGACGACTTAACCGGTTTCTGTTTCTTCGCTCATTGAATTATTATGAAATCGTAAAAGTTTGTTGTTGTTTAATCGATAGATTCGTTGAACCTTTGCCGGCATATTTTTATTTTCATTTCCTTTTGTCATTCATTTATTCGATATCAAAATGTTGAAGCCGTTCTCATGCCAATTATGAAATCAATCATATACTTACATATGTATACGAGAAAGATTAATTGCAAAAAATTTCTTTTTGATTATTTGCTTTGTCATACACATTTTGCACAAAACAACCAGCGGCGACCTTGAACGGCTGACTAAAGTGATAAATAAAAAATTGCTTCGTGTTCCCCGTCTGAAAATAACGATGAAGCAAAATGAATGAACTCATAAGCTTAATCTGTGGCAATTTAAGTGCCTTCATATTTCATTGATTTAACTTAAAAATTCTTTCATTCTTGAACTTGTCTAGTGACTGCTAAAATTATGTTTTTGTTGTAAGCAACACGTTGGATGATTAGCAGGTGAAAAATTAATCATAGTGAGTCATAAAATTCCCATCACCATATAAGTTCTTACAAATTTCTTTTTGCTAGCGTGTTTCAACCAAGACATTTGTTTGAAATATAAATCTGACGACGTTCATTTAGTGACTGATAATTAAGTCCCTCGCCTTGAACTCGCTGAATTTTAATCAAATTATTGCGGACAAAAAATTTAATTTGGTAAATTCAATGTCGTATATTTAAATGAATTTTTCACTTAATCAAGCTTCAACTAAAACTATTGTTCACAGTTACCATTAACGATGATATTTATGAGAGCATGTCATGTGATATGCGTAAATGTCAACAACACGAATCGACTTAGAATTAGTTTTCTCTGAAAACGTTTCTTTTTATTACTTTTTTGGTGCTTTTGTAACATTTTTAACACGTTGATTGTCTTATCTTGTCATTACAGGTAAATAAAATAAACTAAACATTTGATAAGTTATCTCAACTCTGGTTGATTCTGATAGGCTGTTGACACTTAAGAGACCAAGTGGATTTATGTAGGTAGCGAAATCAAAATTTCTTCAAACTACCATTGCATTGAAAGAAAATATAATTTTGAAACGAAAGCTAAAGTCAAGTTCATGAAAGCGATTAATAGGAATCATTGAAGTTGATCTTGGGCGATGGAGCTGAAACATGCTTCGCTTATTGCTCGGAAGCAAAACTATAAATAACTCTTCAATGTTTGTTCTATGCTTCATGCCTCTTTCGGTTTCATTAGTTTTGTTTGTTTTCCTCACTTAAATAAGTTAAAAAACGACGGAATAAAAAAAAAAAAAGAGTGTAGCGACTTCTTCTCTTTACTTCCCAGAATTGAAACTCTTTCTTCACATGACAATTAAGAACTTTAACAAATTCTTCTTTCTTTTGTATAATTAATCATTCCCCGCTGTCGGGTAGTTTCAAAAGTAGAAAATTTCTCGTCTTGTCTAAAATGCATCGTCGACGCATGTAAAGTGCAATATGAAAATATCATTTTTAGACTTCCTCAAGTCACTTCTTGCTATAAATAAATTTAAATCAAATCATTTCAAGTAGAAAAACATTTTAGCAAAAGAAACTCATCATATGTCGTAGCACATAATGAACTCTTTTATGGGCCATGGAGTCTGTAACATCTCATGCAAAAATGTCTACTAAAACTGAAATTTAAAAGTTTGAAATGATTTATTTATATCAATAAAAGCAACATGATGATGGAAGATCTCAAGAAGGTTTTACTTATGCTTGGAGCATTTTCTTTTTTAAGATTAATGTCTTAACTGCATTAACATTTTTGTTTTTTTATTTAATATTAATAGCTTTAAATCTTAATTGACGTAAACGATACCAAGATGACTTATGTTGTCTTTAGAAGTTAAACGAATAAATTTCCTCATAAAATAATGATTGTCGAAAAGAAATATTTCAATTATTCTCAATTAAAAGTAGTCGTTCGACTCTTTCCAAGTTTAGATAATAATGATACAATTCAAGTTCAGTTGAGTGCATCGACCCAGCCCATCTTATGTTGTAGCATTTTCTTTATTGTTTTGAATGAAAAGTATTCACCATGTGTTACTAGAGAAATTTATCTCTTTCATAAGTATTCACACACTCGGATCTCTCCGGCTGTTTATAATTCAATGTGACGTAATGGTGTGTTGAAGATGATCAAAGGAATCTAAAGACAATGTTTGAAGTGAGTGTTGTGCTTTATAGGTTTCTGTTAGGCTCATAAATTGATGTTTCGGTCTCGTGATTATGAAAATTAAGTTTTTTTAAAGAACATGTGTTGAGGTAGCAGAAAAATGTTTTACTGACGTTTATTCTTGATAAATCCCATGAATCATGCAACTTTATTCAATCTCCATAAACATTCAAATCACCTTTCGTTTTTTCTCTTTGCTTCTATTCTTCTTACAATGCTTCAGCGATAATTTTAATGTGTTCTTGTATTACGTTCATTCCTTCTTTGTAAAAGAACATTAACCAACGATGAAGATAGATTTCAATAGAAAATTGTCTTACAAACACAACGCACAAAGAGTTAATTTAACGGAATTTTCATGATTGAAAGAGTGTTTTAGAATGTGAAAAGCAGAACAAGCTGAATGAAATCTGAGAACAACAAGGAAATTAAAGCTGTGTAGAATATACATAGAAGAAATCGATCATTTTTCATTAATTGAATTCTATTATGATACGTCGTTAAATCCGAAGTTGAATTAGTGAAGCGATGAAGAAGAGTGTATAGTTTACTTTGGTAGTTATGGCTTTTAAGGTATCTCAGTTAACCATTAATAAA